GCGATATAACTTAGCATATCCTGCCATTAAAATATTTAATAATTAAGTACTAACAGAGCTTGTTAAATAATAATGATAATAATAGTTAATAATAATAGTAGCATATCCTGACAATAGTTTTTCATCAATCTAACGTTATAATGTTACTTTATTTCACAAATAGTATAGGCAAAGGGTTAGTGAAATTTGGGATAGCTTTTTTTCATAGACCAGGAAAATTTCTATGTTCTTGTAATTTTGCGTAAAATTATGTGCCATAATCTTTGTTATTGGAAATTGAAAATTTGTTTTTGAAAATAATTTGTACTTAATATCTTTTTGAATTTTTTAAAGATTTACTTATCACGTTTTCGTGATAATTTACGCTATTTGACAAGCAATGTTTTGAATTTTACATCTGTCTTTACATGCAATAATTATTCAAAAATTGTCCCAGATCTTCAATTAAACATTTAAAAAATATTTAAATTAAAAAAAAATAAATTAAAAGGTTGAGCTTCTTTTTCTTATACAACTGAAAATGTCTTCCATATTTAATTTTTTTTCCTTACTATAAAAAATACCTTTATTTTAATTTGTTTGCAGTATTTTTTGTTCTTAGTGTTTGATAAATCTTACAACTATCTAAAGTCAAAATAGAATTTTATTCCTTTTTATTATCTTTTTTTTTAAATTTAAAAAAAAAAAAATTTTTTTTTAAAAAAGCACATAAGAAAAATATTTTTTATAAATTCCTGTGTAAAACTTACGAAAATACATATATGTTACAACTTTTATACAGTTTTTTTGAATAGGTTTTAAGATCGATTGTTTTAACCTCACTTGAAGTTCAATATAGGAAAGAAATAAAACTAAATCTTATCTGGCATTCTGGTTTAGATAAAAACATAATTTTTTTTCAATGATTGTCAATATTTTAATGTTTTTCATTATATATTTCAATATTTTTAATATTATTTCAATATTTAAATTCAATATTTAAGCATTTTTTAAGTAAAAATTATTTTTTTCCTTCTGTATGGATATACCCTTAAATATTTTCCAAATCAAAATGTTAAGGCATTAATGGCGCAAAGGCTTGTCATTCTGAACTAACTGAACTCTCCATGCAGCTTTCACCGAAACATCCTATTTATAACCCCCTATTGCAACAACTGTAGAGGGATATTTATCTTGCCTACCTAGCATATTAGCAACCCCCACATTTTTTTTTCGTCTGTCAGTACATCTACATGAAAGTCTCTTCACATCTTCAAGCTATAAATATCACTTCATCTTTTCTTCTTTCAGACTTGAGCCGCATCTTAAGCATCTGTCGCCAAACTCAAAGAGCTGGCTCTGTTTTTGAACATGATTGCGAACTGCTTCGTAAAGGGCTGCCTTTTGTTCCTGCCTAATTGAAATATGCCCAGTGATGACTGTTATTGTTATAATTTGGCTTCTTTTTTTTGTTCTATGGATTGTTTCCAATAAGGAAGTACGCTTCGTTCTGGGTACATTGCCCCTGCAACATGTGTTGATTTGAACTTCAATAAATTAATTTTTATAGTTTATTATGGATTCGAATTAAAATATAAAACCTAAGGAAACAGAATTTATACTTAAATTTTTTGAAGGAAATTTATACTTCAAACTTCAGAAAATCCTCTTTATATTTCGTAGTTTATGGAAATTAAAATATAAAACCTAAGGAAACAGAATTTTCGCTTCAATTTACAATGGAAATTCGTACTTTGAACTTCAATCAATTCCTTTTGTATTTTATAATTTAAAAAATTTAAAATATAAAAGTTACGGAAAAAAAATTTGAGCTTTATTTACTAAGGAAGCTTATACTTTGATCTTCAATAATTTTTATTTTTGTTTATTTTGTATTTCATGGTTAATAAAAATTAAAATTTAAAACCTACGGAAAGAAGTGCTTTATTTACTAAGGAAGTATATACTTTAATCTTCAATATTTTGTTGTTGTTTATTTTGTTTTTCATAGTTAATAAAAATTAAAATATAAAACCTACGGAAAGAAATTTGTGCTTTATTTACTAAGGAAGTTTATTCGTTGATTTTCAATATTTTTTTGTTGTTTATTTTGTATTTCATAGTTAATAAAAATTAAAATATAAAACCTACGGAAAGAAGTGCTTTATTTACTAAGGAAGTTTACATTTTAATCTTCACTATTTTGTTTTGTTTATTTTGGATTTCATAGCTTAAAAAAATTAAGTCGTAAAACCTATGAAAAGAATTTATGCTTTATTTACGAAGGAAGTTTATACTTCAATATTATTTTTTGTTTATTTTGTATTCTATAGTTTATAAAAATTAAAATATAAAACCTCATGAAACAGAATTTACGCTTCAATTTACGAAGGAAATTAATGCTTCGAACTTCAATAAATTCCTTTATTACTTTTTTATTTTAATTTAGTAGAAATTAAAATAAAAATATAAGGGAACAGAAGTTATGGTTTAACTTACCACAGAAATTAATACTTTGAACTTCAGTAAATTCTTTTTGTATTTTACAGTTTATAGAAATTAAAATATAAAACTTAAAGAAACAAAATTTATGAATTATAGAATTTTTCTCAGAAATTTTCCTTAGAAATTAAAATATGAAAATTAAGGAGACAAAATTTGCTCTTCAATTTAGAAAGGCAATTTGTACTTTAAACTACAATAAATTCCTTTTGTATTTTATTAAAAAATTGAACTAAAATGTAAATCCTAAGGAAACAGAATTTATACTTCGATTTACGAATGGAATATATATTTTTAACTTCAATAAATTCCTTTGGTATTTCATAGTTTATAGAAATTAAAATGTAAAACCTAAGGAAGCAGAATTATTTAAAGCAAAGTACAAAAATGCAAGATTAAAATAATCATAGCACCTTGATTTTTATTCAAGCATTAACTATCTTGTAATGGTTGAACCTTAAAATAATGCAAAAGGTATAATATGAATTGCGATTGGGAGTTTAGATGTTTTAACGGATTATGGATTTGACACATGGTATTTATTATCCAAAATTCTATTAAAGTGTTCTAAAATGACAAGTGTTAAAATCATCGAAACATTTACATTTTTAAATGCTTTTATTGTAAATAAAAAATAAATGTCTAATTATATTTTTTTAGTTATTTTTATTTATGAAATTTGGTAGAGTATCAACTGAAATCCCCCAAGTTGTAATTTTAAAATACTGATAAATTAAAATATTTATAATGTTTATAGACGATTGTATGTATAATGTTTATAGATTGCTTAAACTCAAGTAATATTTGTAAAACTTAGTAACAGTAGTCATAATGATTCAAAATAATTAAAACAAAATATTTATTTCGTATGCATTCGAAGTCGATATGTATTTTTATACATCAATATATTAAGGAAAAATATATTTAAAAATTGTAAAATTTTAGGAAAAAAAATAAAATTAAAGAAAAGAAACATGTGAACTGCTTAAATGTGACGTGAGACAACATGTGAAGTGTTTTGAATAAAATATTATTACATTAAAAATTTCATTTATGTGAATATCATAAATATACATGAATTTTGTGTTTAAATTGAAAATAAAAACTTGAAACATTCTCTTCTTTTACGTAATATTAATACCATTATATCAATTTAACAACGAAGCATATTTCTAAAATTGTTGTGTAAATTTCCTCTGTTTGTCATTTTTTGAGCTAAGAAATGTAGTATTATTATCATAATTTTGATTAAATTTGCCGCAAATTTAAAAAATGTTTCGATAGTATTAAATCGTTATATATCATATTGTTTTCTTTGAAGCGAATAGATATCATTTAACCTTAATGAATGGATGAATGTCTTTCAGTTCACGTTAATATCCTATGAACCGGAAGGGCCAAAATATCAAACTTGCTCATTAAAATTATATTTTCACCATAATATCAGTTAAATTTACAACACATAATTAGATATCAACTTTTGAATTATTGTTTTTTTGTAAGATTGCATCAAACCACAATATCGATTATATTTGCTATTACCCTAATAAAGTGTAAAGGTAATTTATTAATACATTATAAAATGGTATCGATTTTATTTAAATAAGTAACTCCATAACTCTCATGGATATCTATAGTTCTCCCCATGGACACGACACCAACCAACCAGCCAACTAACTCTATAACTTACTCTGCTACTCTATAATTGACGTCAACTCTATTACACCACTTCAAAAATTAACTTACTCTGTTACTCTACTTCAGCAAGCAACGTTTGCGTCATTTTATTGAGGTTTCATCGTTTAAAAATAAAGTGCATAATTTCCGAAGTTGGTTTGTTTTCGCACTGACCAGTAAATGTGAATTATAAAATTAAAACTTTAATTTCGCTTAAATAACTTGTCCACTGAAATTATATTTTTATCATAATATCAATCAAATTTACAACACTTAATTGACGTCAACTCTATTACTCCACTTCAAAAATTGACTTACTCTGTTACTCTACTTCAACAAGCAACGGTTACGTCATTTTATTTAGGTTTCATCGTTTAAAAGTAAGTGCACAGTTTCCGAAGTTGGTCTGTTTTTGCATAGACGAGTAAATGTTATTTATAAAATTAAAACTCTAATTTTGCTTAAGTGAATAAGTTTTAATTTAACTTATTACAAATCAAAAATGTTATTGTAATATTTTAATGTATGTATTTTAAAAATTTTAACATGGTGGATTAATAATTCAATTTATTTGAAATGCTTACTTCAAGAAATTTTCAATGGGTTAGAAAATTATTTTAGGGTAATTAAAAACAGTTTTTTTCTATCTAATGATTGTGTGCGTTGATTCTCTTTTTTTTTAAGCATAAATTTTTCAGTTTTTGGAATGAAACTCTCTTTATTTTAAATATCTGTTTTTCAAAATTAATTATTTCTTTTTTTTTGTCTCAATTTTCATTTTAATATTCATTGTCTACTCTCAGATTTTGTGTCTGACAATTGTTATTTTTTTTAATTTACAGAGCAAAGAATGGATTCAGTTAAAAATTCAAGAAATGTATCCAGCTATGACAGATATAGGAACAAATTTACAAGAAGCTTCAGATTTATATCATCAGCACGAAAAAGTCCTAGAAAAATTGCAGGTAAGCTTTATGCATCCATTATCATTGCTGAAGTTGAATAAGATAAGTTGCTAAATATTTCTTTAAATATCGAGGAATGAACTATCTAGTTGTAATTATGATTTTAAATTTACAAATTGCTTCCTCTTAATCAGATAAAATTTGTTATATGATTTAAAAATTTTTTAATTTTGCACAAAAAATTTCACTTTTGAGTCATGTCTACACTCATAGAAAAAAATTATTCAACGGTATATCATATGCCGAATTTTCTTATATAAAATAATGAATGCTATAGTTTATTTTCTCACTCTGTCTCTTAAAAAAAGATTACAAATATAATTTAGGTATTTTGAACCATAAAGCAGCACAAATTAGCTGCAACCTTCAATTAGTTTGTGCTGTTTTATGTTGCCTTGCTGTAACCTTATTATTACTGTAACCTTAATATTAATTTGAAGGAAGTTTCGGTATATATGCACCATACATAGCACCATATTAAGTTTGCAGTAAATTTGGAAGATATTATCATAACACGCATTGCAAAATTTCCAACTGTGTTCCCAGATATTTGATAATTTAAATTCAATAACAACAAAAGTTAATATTAAAGTACTTTTACTTTATTCAAGATGATTAAAATGAGAAGAAAAAAAAATTGATTAAAGGTACTGAAAGTTGTTGTCGTTAAAGTAAAATTGATTGTTGAAGTTAACTGCTTTACAAAGCTCGGCGTAGATGTAAACTATTTAACGTGGCTTTTATCAATAAGCAGTGCACATGTACAATAAAAACTATTTCAGCAATGACGTCAACATTGAATATTTTAAAAATTAATTATCTTTACCAAAGAATTTGTACAAATAATGACATTTACAAGTATGTGTATGAAAATGTTGTTACTTGAAGCATTTTCTTTTGAGATTAATAAAATATATTCACGAAGAAGTAATCGAAATTGAAGTTTACGAGAGATTATCAATAATTACAATATTTTTTGTTGCTAATTAAACAAGGGAAAAGTGATTCGAGTGAAATGAATCAACCATTTAGTGCAAATAAACCGATTTGAGTAGTATCGTAAGAATGATTCATTCAGAATAGTAGTTAGTCAAATCCACTGACTTCAATCAATCTGAACAACCAAGTAGACCTATTACTCAAAAGGCCCGCTCCCACGAATTCAAAACAAACCTTTCTTACACTGACAAAAAAGTATGGTCACAAATACCAAAACATGGTAAAATTTACCCTGTTTCTGGTTGTATGGGAAAACCATAAAGCTTGATAATTTTTTCGAAGCGCTTTGGTAATGATTTTGGTAAAATTAACTATAAAATATGGCTTTATAATATGTGATAAAATTTGATAATTTTATCATAATACTTTAGAGCATGGCGTAAAAATAATTTACACGGTTTAATTTACTTTTTAGTTTTGTGTTTTTTACTAAATGTGTGGTAATAAGAACAATAATTTAAAAAGAAAGAAAAGAATTTCCAGTTAACCGTTACCATATGAACGGGTAAGTTACCAAAATGAATGGTTTAAATATCGTAAATATTTTGGTTCCATTACACCATATTTACCAAATTTCGTCATATGTTATAAAGCCATATTTTATTATTAATGTTACCAAAATCATTACAAATACGCTTCGATAAAAAATACCGAGATTTTTGGGTGTTCCCATAGAACCAGAAACACGGTAAACTTTACCACATTCTGATTCTCAGTGCATAATCCTAACCACATAGCTAGAAATTTTGGAACAAATTGAATCATAGTATAATTTCCTGCAGCCCTATTATGGTGCTAAATTGGGCCATATTATTGTATTTTAACTTGAACGGAAAGATAGTTTAACACCTTACAAATCCAGCTGATTTGCATTGTATTACAGTTGAAGTTACTGATTTTATTGTTCAACACTGAAGAGATTTTTCTGGAATAAATACAAGAAAAATATTCCATTATTTAGATTATTGTTTGTTTTGAAAAAAACAAACGAATGTTGGTTTACTCCCTTAATATGATAAATCGAGGCTATATATATGAGGTGTAATTTAAGTCGTTTGTGCTTTTGTTAAATTACGTGGGAAGTCATTTGGAATAAGTACGTCTTAAAAGCACATAATCTTGGATAGCCAATTAAACCAATTAGGATCTCTGCTCTTAATCTATTAAATATATGGAGACAGTGGCTAAATATTTCGACACTTAAGAATGGCAGTTAAAGCTCGTGGGCGGGCGACAGATCACATTCTTTTATTTCCAGTAATTGGGTGAAAGAACAAGATAAGAACGGTTTCGCCGTTCCCACTTTTCTTTTTTTTAAAAAGCCTTTTATTCCGTTTTTTTTGTTGTTAAACTTATGATCTTTTTTTATGCAACTGCTTTATTTATTTTATTTTGTCATTGAAAGCTTTGAATTTTTTTTTTATTAATTTATTTAGTCTGCTTGTGTTTGATTTTTTTTTAAAATTTAATTTAACTATATTTTGTCAATAAAGTAAACTGTTTGAAATTTTGGAGGGAGTTGAACCATAGTACAATTTATGTTTTCTGCAATCTGAATAAGTTGAACCCCGTAATCATAAATTTTGAACCTAATTATATGATACTATGGTTCAACCTGAGTGGAAACAAGGTACAATTTAACATATTTATACCTTATAATGATTCGAGATACCTACATTATAGTTCAACGTTTTCTAAAAGTATAGTGAGGGGGAGACATGTAGAAATTTCCATCCGACTGTGCAATTATAAATTCAACTTGGAAGACAAGGAAACTCCAGTAAGCATTTAAAGTGAAACTAATTCAGATTTGCGTTACTAGGGAGGGAAAACTCCGAAATCTCCAACTGTTCTCTTCATTGCAAAGGACTCATGATCCGTCTGTCACTGATGATATCCTTGGGGGCCTTTGAAAACCGAGCCAGTACATCCTGATCTATTATAATTACTATTTAAAATTTTATTATTATTATAAATCTCAAATTAATTCGATTTTAGGAGTTGAGACGTGGTGGCTCAGGGGATAGAGCGTTCGCCTTCCAGTGAGGTAACCCTGATTCAAATCCCAGCAATGGCTGGTCGATACAAATTTCGCACCCGTCTTGCACCGAGCACAGTGCTGACGTAAAATATCCTAAGTGGTAGACCTATCAAGAGTTAGGGTCCCCTTGCTGTCAGGTTAACCGTGTGACGTTTCCGGGGTTTTTCTCTTCATGTAACGCAAATGAAGGTTAGTTACATCGAAAAATCCTCCAGTATATAAAATTTTTCCCAATACTTGATTCACGGTCTTTTTTATTAGTTTAATAATTATAAGGCTGCGAATTTGAGCATTGATAGTCAGAAACTCAGAATCAGATCGGCTGCTCAACGCCAATTATAAAATAAAATTTCTCAGAATCTTAAATGTTTATTTTTATCGCATTTTCGAATTCCTTACATAACACGTATGAATTTTATTTATTTTTGAAATGTTTGTAATAAGTGCGTACTGCGCAACTAAAACATTTTAGAAATCCTCTTTGTCAGAATTTTTTCCAGAATTTCCCCGATGGAGCCCAGAATAAAAATCAAAATTTTTATACTAATTTTTTGAATTTTAAAGACGAAAATTTTGTTTTATCCTATGTGAAATCTGTAACGTTTCCCCAACAATGTTTTGGGATTGAACAAATTTTTCCTGATAGGAGGGCGCGTGTAGTTTTACTTTCAGGCTCTGATTCAGCGTGAAAGTAAAACTACATTCAGGTCAGGTTTCTCTGATTCAGGTCAAAATTACGATCTGTGGATGAATGAATGGATGTATGAATGGGTCCGCCCTATAAAATAGGCTCTGACGTGTGTGTGTCTGAAGACGGCCATAGATGGCGCCACTGAAAAACAAGTAACACTGCCTTAAAATTGCTCGGTTTCACCAAGCAGGCTTGCTAGTGTGACATTAGAAACAACAAAAACAACAACTTTCACGCTGGAGAAAAAATAAACTCTTAGAAAATATTCTTTCAATATAAAGTTATTGTTTTTTTCCCGATAGCATCAATAAAACGTATTTTTATTTAAAAAATATGTCCACTCTTATAAATCACATGTATCAAATGCTACAAAAAGACAATTTAAAATTACTAATTTTCACATTCCATATTAATTCACATTTCTTCGATTTAAAGTTTTCACTCGATTCGCACTCACTCGCGATTCGTATTCACTAGCGAGCAGGGCGATCTCTTAGTTTATGCTGTGCTAAATTAAATCCATTTATGATACCTACCATGTGCTAGTTGTAAGTGGCAGACTTCAGCAGGATATTTTTGAGATAAGCTTTCTTAATATAAATTCAATTCTTTTTGAAAATAACAAAAATGTTTGCGTTATGTTTAAGTATGGTTTATTATTCTGTAAAAGAGGAATATTGGTATTTATTTTGAGATTTTAACTATTTGTAGGTAGCACTTTTTTCAATAGTTTTGGACTTATAAGTTAGAAGTTCGAGTGCTATTCGAATACCAGATAGATTTAGTCTGGCATTTCGACACTTTTATTTAAGTAAACTGTAATTTAATTACAAGCATGCTTACTTGATTGTCTTGTTAACTATATGATAAATTTTAATCTTGTTTCATGGTATGTAAATATTTCAGACAAAACAAAGTCCTGTAGAAGAACTGTTAAGACAAGCAGACGATTTGATATCCACCCAAAAGCCCAGGGGAGAGGTGTACTCGGCAATGGCTGAAAATTTAGGCCTAGCATGGAAAGACTTAAATGCCCAGCTTGAGCAAAGACGACAAATTTTGGAACAAGCTGTTGCTTTTTTCATGAAAGCTGATATTGTAAGCAACAACTAATTGGTTATACATTGTGAATAATATATGAGGTGTAAATTTCTATACTATTCAGTTTTAAATAATAACCAGATGTTCGTTTATAGTAGAATTTTTTCAAATCTTATTTTAAGAATATTTTTCAATATTAACCAAGCAATATTAATATGGACCACTATATTTCAATATTAATATGGACCACTTTATGTATTTGAGGAATTGATTAAATTTAATCTTTTTTTTATTTTGATAAATGGTTCACATTATTTTATTGCATCTTGATATTAAAATACATCGAATTAAAAATAAAAGTTTGTTAATTTATCAATTTTATCATCTAAGTTCGTGATGTACCATCCATCCGTCAAAATGTCCATCCATAAAAACATTTATTTTTGACTAAACTTCGAATGAATTATATCGAAATTTTAATCTCTATAAATTATTGTGCTGTTTTTATTTCACTTTGGATATTCACGACAAATATATTGTCAAAATTTTACAGTTTATAGTAAAAAATATAAAATAACAAGTGGAGTATAAGTTAAGAAAAAATGCCAAAATTAAATTCCATTTATAGTAAAACCAAATTTTAATAAAATAGAATTAGATTTCTCCTAGAAGAGTACTAAAATCTTTTTATTTTTATTTTAAAGAGTATTCAAATCAAAGTTTTCAGTGCAATAAATCTTTAAGTATCAAATTTGTACTGAAAAAAAATATTTAAATTACAGTTCTATGTTTCTAATTTAAAACGGAATTACAATTATTTATGCTTCATTAAAATGCTTTCTCTACCCAGAAAAACAATTCAGGCAAAATTATAGTACTGTATGAAAATGATATTTCTTTGATTAAAAAAAAGAAACCACAATTCTCGCAATAAAAACCAAAATATACTGTATTAGGCTTAGACTTAGAGGTTGGGCAGCTCTGACGAGCAGGGCACATCGAGCAGAGGTCTATTGTACCCAAACCCTAGTCGTGATTAGCAAGAAAGCCCTATAGCTGAAATAAAGTTCAGCAAACACCTTACAGGAACATCTTGCAGTTCCCAGGCATTGACGCAATGCTGCCCTAGATGCTCAAATCTTTGACCAGAATAGACATCACAATCACAAAGTATGCGTCGTGATGTCTCTTCTTATAGATGACATCCCCGACAAAGAGAATTGGATTCTATTCCCATAATGTTTAGGTGTCTCCTGAGGATAAATATACTGTATTAAAACCAATTATTTGATAATTTTTCCGTTCATATGCTAACGGTTTACTGCAAATTCTAATTTTTGAAAGTATAGCTCTTATTACCACACATTTAGCAAAAAATACTAAAGTGAAAAGTAAATCGAGCCGAATAAATGGTTTTTATGCCATGCTCCATGAAAAAATTACCAGATTTTATCCCATATTATAAGCCATTATTTTATTGTTAATTTCATCAAAATAATTACGAAAACTCCTCAGTAAAAATTGACCAGAACCAGGTAAAGATCATGGTAAAATTTACCTTATCCAGATAGCTTTGACCATACTATTTTTCTCAGTATAGAGCTAGTGACAGTTTAAATATGGTTGTGATTGAAATGAAGATTTTTAAAAAGAAACAAATAGGTTAAATTCTTTTTGGAAATTAAAATTTCTACGCGTGATAGCTACTAAATATTAAATTCACAGGTAGAAAATGCAACAGATTATTCGGCAAGTTTTTTTTTTTTTAATCTTTTGCAAAATTTGTGATCTAAAATATATAGAAACATTTGTATGTTTTATCCCTTTTAGTCTTAAAAATATCTAAAAATGTTATTTCCATAAAAGTTAGTTCGAGTGTCTGTTAGTTTTGTCCCGTAACTGCGCCAAACTGTTGTTAGAGATGAATATTATTTTGAAAACATTGTTTTAAATTTTTTTCCTTTAGTAGCGCCATCTGCTTACGAATCTTCTGACTAATTTTGAAACTTGATAAGAAGAAAACTTAGTTTCTCAATTATATGTGCCAAACTCTTTCTTTCCTTTTTCTCAATTGGTTTTCTGAATCGTCGATTGTCTTTAATACACTCAATAATTCTTTTCTCGTATTAATCTTATTGAGTTTGCCGTTTTCTTTAAAACTTTTTATAAATGTTTTTAATTGTTTTATGTTATAATCTTGTTATAAATGTTTTTAAATGCCGTATTGTGAGATATATGCCATATTAAAAATATGCTTGTAATCTTATTGACAATTGTGCATTGTGCCTTAATATTTATGAATTATCAGTATTCATGTCTAATGTATTTATTTCAGTTTGCTGATAGTTTGGAGGTGATCAAGCAAAGCGTATCAGAAACATTCCTTCCAAATACTGTAGAATCTGCTATCACTTGCTTGAATCGCCATAAGGAAGATAGAAAAAGTAATCACTTTTTTTAATGTCCATTTACACCAAAGAGCCATTACATTATGACCACCCTCCATCTATAACAATTGGCTCGCCCAGGTTTTCATGGTTTCTCGCACAGGAACAATGTTTTCTTGGGGCACATTAGGATCCATAATCCTCATAGAACAATCCCTGACGTCTGTAAGCTACTTGAACATAGTTGCAGACCAGGTTCACCCATTCATGGCAACAGTTTTTCCTGCGGGGGATGGTGTTTACCAACAGGATAATGCACCATGTCATAAGGGTCGAATCGTCATGGATTGGTTCGAGGAACATTCCAGTGACTTTCAAGTCATGTCTTGGCCCCCAAATTCACCTGACCTTAATCCAATAGAGCATTTGTGGTCCTACTTGGAAAACCAAATTCGTGCTGCCACGCTACCCCCTCGCAATGTGAGGGAATTGCAGGACCAGTTGGTGAGCGCTTGGTACCAGATACCTCAGACTACCTATCAGCACCTTGTGGAATCAATGCCACGGCGGGTGCTAGCAGTTTTGAGGGCTAAAGGTGGTCCTACGTGTTATTAGCAGGGTGGTCATAATGTAATGGCTCTTCGGTGACTATTTAAACATAAATGAATGGTTCTTTTAAACCAATAAGACTTGTTTTAAATTATTATTAATATTTTTTTTAAAATATGCAGTTCATGATTAGTTAACATTAGTAAACATTATCAACACTTTTAAACCACGGAGATAAAAAAAATAATTCTGGGGATCACCGATGATCAGACTTATGTCCAGTTATGAGAAAAATACATCTCCAAATTTCTTAAAATAAATAGAAAAAAAAATTCCCAATTTTTGTTATTAAGGTAAAACAATGGAGAACTATATCGTAAACACCGCAACTATTATTAACGCAGACTTATGTAAAGTAGTAAGAGCAGCGTCAAAAGAAAACACGAATCACATAATTCATCACATGGAATCTGTGGATTTCATGTTTTTGTAGCCATAACTAAAAGATGAAGGCAAGGAACTGAAGGAATAGTTGGCGATAAGTGGAACAGATGGAAAAAATGCTTGCGATTATCTGCAAAACAAAACGCGTCGAATAAATGCACTGATTGTTTATAAAACCTGATGGACCAGGCTTTTTTAGCTACTAGTTCATGAATTATGTATCTTGTTTTTGTTTATGAACTGTATTATTATTATTTTTTTGCATTCTTCAATTCTCTTTGTAGTTATACCTGAAGGAATTTCGACCGATTAATTGTTTTACGTTCGTTTCGTTGAAGCGGAGAACCATTTGTGCGGAAAATGGACGAAAGTCGATATTCGAAATTCAATGTAAATTTTGCTGTAATTTTAATTAACTGAATCATGTTTATTTATAAGTGGAACAATAAAAAAAAAAGAGTGGAGCTATATTGTTTAACGAGTTTGATAATATGATTGCAGCAGACACGGCTGCAGAAAATTTTTACGATATTATGGCGCAATACACTCCGAAATTTCCAACTGTGTATTCATCGTTGAATTTTATTCGATACGGAAAAGTACGGAAATATTATGGATTACATGTTTCCGTTACTTACGAATAAATAATGGATTTTTAATTGAATGTAAATTTAATTACAGGTTTCGAAAATCATACCATGTTTTTAAAAAAAATCTTTACCCTCGGAGCCACAGCGACCCGAAATAGTGTTCCGCGGAACACCAGGGTCACACAGAAGGAACACAGGGGATCCGAGAGCTAGAGCATTTTTTAACCAGAAATAATTTTATTTATATCCACTCAATAATCCATAGTTTTTTCAATAATTCGATTATTTAGTTAAAATTATTTATGAAAATGCAAACAAAAAAAAAGTAGCAAAATTGAAATTTTTTTTTTTCAAAAACAATTTATTGGATTAATTGTGAAAAAAATATGAATTAATAAAAAATTACGTAAATATTGCTACTCAAATTTTTCAATTCAAAATATAATGACCAAATTTTCAAGAATTAAGAATTTTGTTTCTCTGTTCGTGACATTTATAACAGTGAAAATCGTAATTCAGTTTAATTTTTTTTCATTTTCAGAATATGTATAAACTAAGAAATAACTAAAATCTTTTATTTTTTGCAATGAATATTTACGGAATAATTAGTAGTATTTTTTTAGTTAATATACTCACAGCTGCTTATGAACTCTTTTTTTTTTTTTTTTTTTTTTTTTTTTTTTTTTTTTTTTTTTTTTTTTTNTCCGCTAAAAGAAGCTCGATCATTTAGAGTTCCATAACTAAAAAGAATTCGGAACCACTGCCCTAGGATTCTACGGAACACTGTTTGGGAATAGCTGCTTTCGACCATTTTTATTTAACTTATACAGACTTTTAACTTGAAGTTTTTCATTACCATATTCATTTTTGCTCCTTTGTTTTTACTGAACACAATTTAACAAATAATTTTCCATCGTTCTTGCAGCTGCTCTAACCAATTCGATGCGAATGCTGAGCGAAGGCCAGCTCCTTTTGGAAAGGCTATGCGAGGTGGCCACACACAGTATGGGTGATTCAAGACCTCAGCACATGCAGCATGCGGCTCGTCAGACCTCATCCTTCGTGGAACATTACATGGAAAGATTGCAAGATCGATGGCGCCATTTGGAATCTCTCTGGAATCAGAAAAAGATTCAGCTGGAGCAGTGTCTTCTCAAATGTCAACTGGAACTTCAGCTGGCAGAGGTAACAACCATATATAGACAATGATGAATGTTGTGTGACCTTTGACCTTGGAGTGAAAAATGACTGCAATTCAGGACAAGTCTCATTTATTTATCATTATTTTTTTTTTTACTAACGGTAATGACTGCGCAAAAATGAAAACAACAACAAATAATTATAAATATATTATTCAATTTTTGTTCTTAAATTTCGTAAAAACTCATTTTTAATTGTATTCTTTCCGAAGAAAAAGGAAGAAAAAAAACTATATTCCAAATCGCTTATACACTTAATAAATTCTAAATCACAATAATTAATTAATTAATACAATCTTTCATGCAAGCAAATAAATGCAAATAATAGACTAAATCGGACATATTTATGTTTTAAGAAGGAAGCGATTTCATACTAATAGATTTAGAATAAATAAGAATAAGATCGATCTGGGGATGCGACAAACTTCTTATAGATTATATATCATTTATTGTAGATTAATAATCATTATTTTTAATTGTATATTTGTTAATTATAAATGAATAATCATTTGTTAACTGTAGATGAATAATCATTATGTAATGTAATTAAAATTCTAACTTGTAGTTAACAGTAAATGTTATTCTAATGTTATTTGAAATAAAAGTGCAATTTTCTTGGAAACTTTAAATTTATGTTGTGATTAGTAATTTTTCTTTCATGAGCATAAACAGCACGATTCTAGAATATTTGGTAATGATAATATTAAAAAGAAATTTTTCTGTTACTTAAAAATAAAAGTAAAAGCCATCAATACTTATCGCAGTGTTATTGGATTTAATATTAGTTATTGACTAGCTCAACTATTACAAAATAATCTCCTGGTCGAAAATATTTAATTTTATTGCATCGAATAGTTTTACGATATTTATTAACATGAATAAGAATTAAAAAACAACAAAATGATAAAGTGCAATGGTAATATAGCCCAAAAATAATTAGGTTCAAGTTTTATCCCAAACAAGTATCGGGAAATAATTGTGTGAAATCAAATAAGTATTGATAAAATAAAATACTTCGGGATCTTTTAATTGGATACTTGCAACTAATCACATGGTTGTGTCTAATCACGTGGTTGTTCTCGGCGTTTTAACGTTACAGCTTTAAGACTTGGGTTTATTATCACGCAGAATTAATTTTCGAATCAGATTTAATTAAATGCCTGCAAGCAACGATACGTTTGTATTTCGAACTTGATTGGCTGACCCACATGTGACGTCGCTTGCGTGCATCCAATTGAATACTATCTTTCTTTTGTTGAAAAAAAAATGATTGCTAGCAATTGTAGAAGTTGGTGAGTAAATTGAAGGGAGGGCAGTGGCTCCACCCCGCCCTTCTTAAAAGACAAAACCCCTGAAAGATTAAATAAATAAATAAAAATAAAATTATTTATTCAGTGTTATTGTTATGTTTTTAGACCAAAAGTTTAAATTTACAGTCCGTGGCCAAATTATAAGACACGCTATAATTTTTATGTAAAATCTGAATTATCAGGTGATACTATACGGCATTATTGTTTTTAAGCTACTGAAACCGGTTTACACTCGTTTACGTTCGTGTATCAATTGGTTAACATTATAATGCAATACGTTAAAAATAAATATAAATGGGATGTATATAAAAAATATCCTGCATAAAAACCCATTACATACATGTTTAAATATAAAAGTATTACATATAAATTCGTGCAAATCATGTCATTATTAAAACACTACAGTGCGTCGAATAGTTTGGCCTAATTATTATAATATACTAATATAATACCTGATATAATAAATATTCTATATTTACATAATATATCGTCAAATTTATCCAATCGTCGAATTTATATTATGTATCATCCAATTTAACCCATCGATAGACGAGCGTAAACAAGTGCAAACCGGTTTCAGTCGGGTAAAAATAATAAAGCTGTATAGTATCACCTGATAGTTAAGATTATACATATAATCTTATAGTGCGTCTAATAATTTGGGCAGGGACTGTAGTTTTTCAAAATTTGATTTTATAATTTGTACACTTTTTGTTTTAGGGCGAAAATTGGTTAAGGACAAGAGGAATGCTTTTAATCAGCCACGGGAATCTGGGCGATTCTTCAGCAAATGCCGAGATACTTTTACACGAGCATTATAAAATAGAGAGTGAGTTTAAGGTAAAGTATAAACTACTTTATTACATCAAAAACTATATTTTATTTTATTACCATGAAACGTTTCTTAGTACGTTTTTGTGCATTATTAGTTACCGAATTTATTGTAGGCTAAAATCTTGCGTGCTCTCTCTTTGCCTAGAAACACAACCCATGCAGCAGAGATAAGTATTAATTACGTGAAAATAACGTTAAAATGCCACAAGGTGTAGAGCAAAATAACGTTTTTTCGAAACGTTTTATTTCCGTTTCAAGTGGTAGTCTCGAATTAGTTTAAAAAACGTTAATATTTGGGTTGTTTTTAACGTAAAAATGACTGATTTTTGCCCTTATTTTGACTAAGGTGAATTTCGTAACCAATTTTTTACGTTATTTTAACCAAGCAGGTTTCTTTTTTAACGTATTTTTTACGTTTTTTTTTACCAAACTATTTGCGTTTATTTTTGGTTCTATAAATTCGTTTTTTTCACCATGAATATTTACGTGTTTTTAACGCTTATTTTTATTGAAATAACGTACATTTTACGTTATTTTAACCAAAATACAAACGTATTTTATCCATACAATTTACGTATTATTATCAATATTTTTAACGCTTATTTTAAGTTAGGTGAATTAATAAAATTTTCGTGTAAATTTAACTAAACTAATTTAAATTTAATTTAGCTAAATTTACCCTTTCCCTTAGGGGTTACGAATATTCACGTGTACAAATCAGTGTTGTTTATCCGGACACTGATGAACATAATTCTTCAATTAACCGGATCAGTGAAAAAAACACGTTATTCCTCTGCCGCCATTTTTTTCTAAACGAAAATTTGTCTGTATTTTTAAATTCACCAGATGGGGGTTTAAAAATTGTGAAGTGTTCTTGGAAATCGATGTATTTCATAATTAATTAATTTAATATTTGCATCCCTTTAAGCAATTTAGATGGTTCAACGATTAAATAAAGCAAAAAAGAAAAAGGAAACAACATAGAACTTGAGTATACAAATCAATTTAATCTGATATCATAGAAGTCATTAATTGAATTTTAAATCTTTTATCAGCTTTTTAAGGTAGTGCCTTTTTTTTCTTCCTTTTTTAATTTGTACGATTTTTTGTTCCGTTTCATTGTTGTGTTAAAGTCACGATCAGTCTAAATAATCAGTGCCCTGTACGATATCACAACAATATTTTTGCAATACAATGCAATATTTTTTTTCTCTCTACGCTGAAAAAAATTCCGGATATAATTACGGTAAAAAGTACTCGCATCCTGAATGCAACATCGGTAAAATCAATTTTATAATAAAATCCATTTTTGCAATAAAATTTTATACCGTTCTTTTTACAGTGATTCAGTATTTTTATAATGACTATTGTCGTAAAAAATATGAATATCATATTTTTTGTTCTGTTAAACTTAACGGTAAAAATGAATTTTACGGTAAAGAGTGAAAATACTTTTTACCGTAATATGAGTTTTTCAGTGTACATAACTAGAAAATTGGATGGAAAATTTTGATTAGGGTGGGCTTAGTCGATTCTATTCTTAGGTTTTTTTATTTATTGTTTAGTCATTTTTCGTATTTGTCGTAATTAATGGCAATGACATTTTTTGAGACCTACCGTTATTCAATGTTTTGTTAGGTCGGTTATGAGCTAGGAAATCGTTTATTCATAATTGTTCCTTTATTCATGTTTAATATTCATAATCAATAAAAATCAACGTTTATACATATTTAATAATTTCTGATCAGAAACAGTTTTAACTCTTCCTCCCTCTATCATTAAAATATTTTAAAATTTCAAAATAAATCTTTTTTTTTCTTCAATTCAAGTAAACAAGAAAATCTAAAATATTTTAAAGTTATGCGACTAATAAAACACTTCTAGAATCCCATTTTCTTTACTTAATACTCGAAAGTTTTGTTTCGTTTCCATTAATAAAAATGATTTTACATCACATGCGAATTCATCATTTTGTAAAGCCTTAAAGTGAGTGGGAGTTTAGGGCGAGGTCGAGTGTCTCGTGGCCAGTATTGTTGCTCCCGGCCTACAACCAACTCTTGCGAAATTCAGGGAAAACCGCTCAAGGTGTTTCGACCACGTGAATAATAATTATTCAAATAACTTAATATTATGTTATTTTTAGTGAAATTAGCATGTAGAACCTACTGTTCTTGGTTGCTGAGTTTAGTGGCCTTTCTAGAATGTCTGGGTATTATTATAATTACTATAATGTAAAAATTTCCTGGATCAAATTACAGTGTATCGGTTATAAGAATAAGAACCCGCTAAAGTACCCGCAATTTGGATGCCTCATTCGTAAAATCCATTTTTACCGTAAAGTATTATACCTTCATTTTTCAGTAATATTTATTCAATTGAAGTGATTCAGTGATTTTACAGTAATTATTACTGCAAAAATTACGGTAGTTCAGATTTTTCGTTCCGTAAAATGTTCCAGTAAAATAGATTTTACGGTAAAATGTACCGGCACCCAGGGTGCCCGAGTTTCGTAATTTGATCATGAATTTTTTACAGTATAATATTAAAAATATAGCTGTATATGGTATTTAGTGCAATATCTTTTTATTTTTTTTTATTTAGTTTTTTTTTTGCTATTTGTGAAAATTTAATTTCACGTGGGAAAAAAGAGGTGCTATTTGGAGAAGGGAAAGAAAAAAAAAGTGATAATAAGCCCCAGAATATTGTCCCCCGTTCAGAATTGAAGACTTAAGGGGGAAGAATGGTTTATGTCCATTTTTCACAAAAATGACGATTGTGTCGCCCTCTGTTGTGTCTTGAGGATTACTAAGTTTTGACAAATCAAAAACTTGAAAGATCGGTTCTCTCCGAGAATAATTACTTGGTGAGGATGAGCCGTAAGATTTTAAAAGTAAGGATGATTTGAGAGCACTTCTAAAATATAAAGACTAATTGCATTCAAGATTGACATTTAATGTAATGTGTTTTAACTTTTAACTTTGGATTTAATGAGAACTAAGTCCCTTAATTAAAGAAATGTACACGAAGTATTCTAAATGGTGCCAAATTATGATATTTTGGGGGGTGATTTAACCTTTGTGTCTCTCTTTAAATGTTCTAGCTATTATTTTTTTTTTAAACTCGGGAAGTTAAAATTAAAATAATGGTATTGCGGGGCTCTCAGCTCCAGTTCTACTTAACAGATATATATCGAACTAATAGATATATATTAATAAGATAGATCCTCAGCCCGGGGTTTCGACTTCGAGTGACTCCAAAACGCAATACAAAGAAAGGTAACAACTTTGAATTCATTTAAAGAACAGACTATGTTGTTTATTTACACATCCTTACGTGCTCTATGTGCATAACCATGTCAGTCAACGTTGTGCATACAGTTTGTATGTATGCATTATTTGTATATTGTTTTAGGAGTAACTCGCCATCTTCTAGAAAAATGTCTAACAAACAAATTTCAGTATGTAACTTTGTAAATAAAATACAGGGTATAAAAAAAATATTGGAAGGGGTCAAATATGGCAAGAAATATTCATCGGATCAAAACAGTGAAAATAGACGCATTCAATATTTTTTAAAAACGATCTAATGATACCAAACTCGATCTTTCACTCGAAAAACTCTGGGGGCAGAATGGGTGCAGCTTTCATATCTTACATATTAACCCCTATTTCTTATTGCTGATTTGTAAGCAATAAGAAAATTAACATTATTTCACTTCACAGATGGCGCTGCATCAGATAAATTCAAAATAGGGTACTGACTGTTTAAAATAGCAAATCTTGAGACCTATATCAGAATAAAACATTAAAAAAAATACATACATCAATTTTTCAAAATTTTTTTTCAAATTTTTTGAGAAATTTGAAAAAACACGTGAACATTCCCCCCCTTTTTTTTCTATCTGATGGGTCCCGATCTACCCCCATTTTCAGCAGTTTGTACCCTACTTTAATTTTCCCCAGTTACAGCGTCATCTGTGAAGCAAAATGTATCAATTTACTAGTTAAATATTCTTTTTTTTTTGGTGAATAGAAATCTGCAGTAAAAAAATAGGATTTTCTTATTTAAGATTTCAAAGTTTCAGCTCTTCCCACCACCTGGGAGTCCAATGATACCCATCGAGTTGGTATAGTTGGATAGTTTCATGCGAATCACTCCAGTAAAACTCGGGCTAGAAAACACTGACTATCGTCAATGTAATTTTAACCACCCCGTATTCTATTTTTATGCACTGTACACACACGATTTTAAGAACTCAATGTAATTGAATTCCATTTCTTTAGGAAAAACAAGAATATTTCCTGAAACTCGTCAAAACGGCTGAAGATTTACACCAAAAAGGGAATTATGCCGGTGAAGAGTTGAGAAGTAGAGCCTACCTACTTCTGTCTGAATGCGCTGAGTTATTGTCCTCTCTAGATCAGCGCAGGCAACTATTGGCTGATTCTGTCAATTTCTTCACAAAAGCGCAGACGGTAAGGAATTTTGTTTTACGCCGCGATAGTTATTCCCCCCTCCCAAAAAAATGGGGGGGGGGGAATCTTAACTTCAGTATTTTAGAATTGTATGAAAGCGATTTTAACTGTTTAAATTTCGTGCTACAAATAAGTTTGTGTTTATCGTTTGCAGGCTCAAACGAAACTGGATCAAATCGAAATTCAGTTATCGACAAGCGATTCACCGGTTTTGTTCTCAACTGTGGAAGATTCTGTGAATTCAGCAATTCAGACTGGTCGGCAGATTTTAAATACGGTCGGCATGACTGAACCTGGTGTGCAAGGAATTGCTCGAAAGGTGAACAAATTTATGGTTTTCTAAGGTAAAAGTTATGGTATCCAAGATAAAAATGCAAAGGAAAAGCATTCTTAAAAGAGAATAAGAAAAAAAAAATCAAGAAAAAAAAATCATTTTTTTAAAGCCAGAAAATAAAACAATTAAAAGATGTAAACTTGTTTTCAGCTCACACGATTATATCCTCAAAGTAGTGCTTTCTAACATTGTATTAATATAGCCAAAGCAAATTTTATCAATACAATAGTATGAGGAGAACCAAAAATAAAATTAAAATATTCGAAAATTAAAAAAATCAAGTGAAAAATACCAAGCTTCATGAAAAATGCTAAATATACATTGTTTTTTGAATTTACTTATGCATATATATAGATATATATTATACAGTTCTTAAAAATAGCCATCGATGCGCTTTTTAATAGTTTAAAATTCACATTCATAACATTTCAGGTTGGAAGCAATAGTTAAAACGGGAAATTTTATCTGCTTCACTTATTAATTTGTTACCTCTTTAAATTTTTTCAAGGACAGTACGAACTCAGTACGCACTTTAGAGTATCTGAACACCACTTTCATTATAGTCACAGGCATTCGGCAAATCAGAGGGTGCCGGACTTTTTTAAGACTTTTGTAAGTATGTATATTAAAATAAGCAATAAAAATAAGTAATTGGAATATAACACGACTTAGAAAGAAATAACTGGAAAAGCATCAGTTGCTTCTTTTCAAATTGTTTATGCCTTTTAAAAATTATGAAGAGGTATTAAAGTTTTTGATATTAAACTGAGTTTAGCTACTAGAATGTGTCAAATTCAAGTTTCTGTGCTTTTGTAGCGCTTTACATGTCATCATTTTTTCTTCTTCTTTTTTGCATACTCAGGTTATTGGATTCGCATCAAAGTAAGTAACCATTCTAATCATACATCATGCAATAATTATATGCATACTTATAAGGAAATTTTATTAACCATTCTAATCATACATTATGCAATAATTATATGCATACTTATAAGTAAATGTTATTAACCATTTTAATCATATATCATGCAATGATTATATGTATACTTATAAGTAATTTTTTGACCATTCTAATCATACATTATGCAATGATTATATGCATACTTATAAGTAAACTTAATTAACCATTCTAATCATACATTATACAATAATATGCATACTTATAAGTAAATTTTATTAACCATTCTAGTCATACATTATGCAATAATTATATGCATACTTATAAGTAAACTTTATTAACTATTCTAATCATACATTATGCAATAATTATATGCATACTTAAAAGTAAACTTTATTAACTATTCTAATCATACGTTATACAATATAATGCATACTTTTAAGTAATTTTATTAACCATTCTAATCATACATTATGCAATAATTATATGCATACTTATAAGTAAATTTCATTAACCATTCTGGTCATACATTATGCAATAATTATATGCATACTTATAAGTAAATTTTATTAAAGGTCGAAGAACTGGAGAGAAAAAAGAGAAAATTATCCGATGTTTGTAAAGCTAAAGAATCTGCGTCATCTGAAAAAAATCAAGCTTTCAAAAAGTTTTGCGAGAAATATGATGAGGTGCGTCTGACTTTTGTAATTTGTGTTCAAATTTCATAGCCTCATTAGAATAAAAATATTCTTATTATTTTTGATATTCTTTTTCAGCTCATGAAATGGTTTTCTAATAACGGACAATTCTTCGTCCAAAGAAGTCGTGACATGGGTTCAACTCAAACAACAGCCAAGACATTTGTTGACCAACATGAAACCCTGCAGCAAGACTTACGTGTAGGCAGAATTAATTTACTCTCTAGAAATTTATGTTCGGTGGGAACAAAACTATTTTCAAACTGCTAAGAAAGTTGTTATGAAAGCCATTGTTATGCGTTAAGTTGTTAAGAAAACCATTAGAAATTGATAACGAACTAGAAATCGATTGCTTAAGGCCAAATTTCAAAATTGATGGCAGTATTTTCTTTTATTTAAAGTAATAAATTCACTACTAGTTAAGACATTGTTATTGGTTTAATCCAAGTTTCACAATCTCTTGAGGCATAACTTACGTCTCTTGAAGAAACATGGGCGCTTTTATTTCAATCTGAGCATTTTATTTAAGATCCAGTTTCTTTAATTAAAAAAAATGCTCAGCAATTTTACTCTCTATGGAGATTTAGCATGTTTTTAAAAATTTCCTTCCGAGTATGTTATGCACGTCGCTGCAGCCAAATGATCTAGTTATATAGAAAGCATTAAATGCTCTGTTATTCTAAAGTTTATGCTAAATTTCTTTCTATAGGATAGTTCTGGCATTTGCCCATGGGACTAAAAATACATGGCTTTATTGCTTTCCCCTTATATTTACTTTGTTATTTACTTCAAAAATACAGTACTGATCTTATTTGTAAGCTATTCGATGCTGTCTTGAAACAATAGTAGTCATTTTAGTTATAAGATAACCTATATATATATACACTATCTACCAATAAGTATTTGGACGCGTGTGATTGAAAAGAAGAACAGACTTTATTCATAATCAATAGTTAGTAGATCGACTCAAGAGGCAATTACAGCGTGACCCCACCGCGGCATACTTTCCACAAGTCCTTGTGTGACGGCTAGTGGTATTTTCTTCCACTCGGCCTGGAGAAGACATGCAAGTTCCTTCACCGATTTTGGACGGGTAGTACACCCCTTAATACGGCGATCCAACTCGTCCCAGAGGTTCTCGATAGAGCTCAGGTCCGGTGTCTGGGCAGGCCAGTCCGTTGATTAACCCCATTGGCACCATACCAAGCCTTGGTGAACCTCGCAACATGACAGCTGGCATTGCGTCCTGGAATTTACAGGGGTCCACCCTGTAAAACTGCCACAGCGTGGGAAGCACATTGTCATCCAGAATAGTGCAGTAGGCATCTTGCATGGGACTAATGCCGATGTTGTTCCCTACGCGATATATACCGGCGGAGGGCGTGTTGTATCTCATAACCGCAGATATAGTCATTTTCATAGGTGTCCAAATACTTATTGGTAGATAGTGTATATATATATATATTATCTTATAACTAAAATGACTACTATTGTTTCAAGACAGCATCGAATAGCTTACAAANTCATGTAGAAATAGTGTGCCCCCCCAAAAAAATTTTTATTTTTTTTTGGCCGCCTAAGTGGCGTTTATTTGTGGAATTGCTCATATATATATATAATGAACTTAGCGTATGAATTATTTTATTTAAATTTTAATAAATGCTGAAGTGTTTAAAGGCAACAGTCTAAATTAAACGTTCTTTATTATTTTTGTAAAAAATGTTTTACTTATTCGAAAGTAATTTTATATTATATTTATATTATGTATATATTAGTTTTTAATATATTATATTATAATATATTAGTTTTTAATATATTATATTATATTATATATATTAGTTTTTTCCAAAACTTATTTTCTGATTATAAAATAAAGTGTATTTAAAGAAGATTGATTTTATTTTAAACCTCTTGGTTCTATTACTATGAAGTGTAATTCATGAATTTTTTACTCAGATGAAAATGATGGACGTGGAAGCACTTTTGAGAACTGTTCCGAATTTAGTTCGCAATGGAGGCGAAGAAGCAGAAGTAGTCCACAGCAAGTCTGAGAATCTGAAACAGCAGTTCTCACAGTTGAGAACAGATCTGGAGAAAAGAATATTGATTGCTCAAAGATACTTAGCCTTCCTCAAACTCTCCGTTAAGGTACATAAAATGCTCTTATATAATTTTTTTCTTTCTATTAAGTATTTATAAAATATAATGCAGTAAAAATCCGTTACAACGACAATTTAAGGAGGCAGATGGAGTTGTCATTGTAGTGAGTTTGCCTTTAAAAGACAAATACACTTATTTAATTACTTAATAAAAAGCTTCATTCGTTTCAGAACTATACAGATTGGAAATAACTGTCGACATGTTTCAAGTGCTCAAAAATAGGCTCTCATTTATAGCCAAACTCAATTTTATTCGAGATCGCAACGCTGGAATACGCCATCTGGGGAGAAGACCACTCCCTTTCCCTCTTCTCCTCCTTTCCGTTGTATAGAAAATGCACAACGGTATTTTCTCCTTTCTTAATATTTTTTCTTATTTAATTGACAAAACTATTTTATTTAAATTTTCTCAATGCTTTCTTTTAGAGCTTTGTTCGATGTAGTTTTTAGTTCCATATAGTTTCCTTACTTATAAGTTTTTTATCTATTTGAAAATCAAGACAGATACTGTACTTCCTTCTCCTATGACTCTCCACACGCTATAGTGAAAGCATACGAGTGTTGCCATGGAGTTCTGCTTTACGCCACCTATAGCCCATTTAGCCGAGAGAGAATATAAATAAACATTAAAAGGAAAAAAAAAAACGAAAAAAGAAAAACCACTGTGGCCGAGAGGAGAAAATCAGCCTAACGTGCATTTCCATGCGCTATGGAGCGCTTGTGAGGAACCAATGTCCTTAACAAGGGACATCAGTTTTTTTAAATTTTATTTCCCATTCTTATCTGGCTACTTTGCTTTTTATATTACAAATCACTTTTGCTTCTTCTCATTCGAGCCTGGCAAGTCTTGAAACTGGGGGCCTATTTTTAAGTGCTTGAAACATGTCGACTGTAAGAACATGTGGAACTGTAAGAACATGTCGACTGTAAGACTTGAAACATGTCGAGACCACACTGTAAAAAATGGATACTTAAACTACAAGAAATTTTCTTCGTTTTTGACGAAACCGTTTCCTGGTATATGCTGCGAGCGAACATTTCGTCAGAGTGACGAAATAACTACTTCGTAACTTTTTTGAGAAAACGATCGTCAAAAGTAAAGAAATATTTCGTCATTCTAGTTTCGATCGTCTAGTCCTTACTCAGGTTCCGTAATTCTTGTAAATCTTCCATCATACCCTGCAATGAGGCTTTTCTTAATACATTTGAGAGTTCGCGTTTCGTCACAAATCGCGTAAATTCGTGACGAAATTATCATCAGAAGTAACGTAAGACAGGTCAAGGATTGCTGACTTGTCAAAAGTGATCTTTATTTCTGTATATTTTTCAGGTAGCGACTGGTATTTTGAGGATCAAAAATCCTAATCCATCTGGGGGAAAAAAGGAGAATTTTCACGAAATCCGTTTTCTTGTCTAATTTTATAACTAGCGGTTCAGCAAATGGGCAAAATTGAGAGAATGTTTCATCCCAGTACACTATTTCCCTATCTAATAACATTGAAAAACTGGTTTACTGGAGAAGACAGTAAGTTAAAATACGATTCGGAGAAGACTGTAAGTTAAAATTTGAAGAAGACTGTAAGTTAAAATACGACTTTTTGCGTGCAGAACCGTCAGTGGGTTAAAACATCATCTGCACTAATTAATTGGCATATTTGAGGTCAACCTTTTAGACCATTAGATTGAACCTTACGTCTGGAAAATCCTATTATTAGAATAAAAGTTATTAGTAGTGATTTTTCACTGTATTATCTTTTATTTTATTAGTTGCATTATAATACAGATAACTGTTACGTTCATATGATAGGTTTCCAAAGAAATGGATGAGTTGGAGACTCTTGTAAAGCAAGCGATGGACGCTCCAGAACCATCCAAATTCCGAAATGTTGAAGAAAAGCAACTTGGACTTCGGCAGGAATTATTACAGATGAATAATAATGGAAGGAACTTTTTGCAAGATGCTCGAAAAGTAAAAGAATTTATATAGTCTTATTTTTCTAAGCTTATGGAAAGCAAAGCGAAAAAAGTTATCTTTTGTTTATAAAATCGCATTTTATCCGTCCTCTTTTGCATTTAAAAATTTTTTTGAACCATCTTCTTGATTTATTAAAAGTTCCCAAAGTGTCACTCGTTAATTGCGATGAACTTGGAGAGCCATTTTTTCTGGCGTAGAAGTTTATGAAAATAAAACTTTGTGCTGATAATTTTGTGGTTAAGGAAATACTTATCATAAACAGATTTTATTAACTGCTTACCTTTCAATGTTCCACTAAAGGAAGATGGTCTTTCAGTTTGAATTTAAAGAGTTATGAAAGACCTAATAGTATTTTTTGTGTGCATTTTTTAAAATTTGCAATATGAAGTATTTTTTGCATTTAATTTGATCCCGTTTCCCTAAATATTTGATTTTTTTATGAATTTAGTATAATTCATCTATGACGCCCGGTGGCTGAGCGGTAGCGCTTCGCTCTGTCGTGCCACATGTCCCTGGTTCGATCCTCGGGCAGGGCAAGGTTGACACAGCCTTTAATCCCTTCAGTGGGTCGATAAATGAGTACCAAGTATGCTTGGGAATTATACACTGGGGGCTCCTCGTTCGGCTGACTTCCTGGCCGGAACATCTGCTCCTGCACCCCAGAGCCCAAGGTCAAGAAAACTGAGATGGGTACAGTAGGCCTTGGCCCTCTATGGGCTGTCGCGCCGCTGAGTTTATTATAATTCATCTATATAGTTTGCGAAAACTATAAGATTTACGAACAATCATATTTTCATTAGATGGCTACACTATAAATGAGCTTTTAAAAAAATAAAATGATCTGTAAGGCATAAAATTCAAAATTTATTTTAAAATTTTGAATTTGACAAATAAAAAAAGTTAAAATATTCGTTCAAAAACTAATGTTCCAGTTTTTGAACATTGAGGCTTCAAAAGTTCGATTTTTAGACATTCATCTTTCAGTTAAGTTGTGTGCTATTTCACGTAATTATGTGACTTATTGAAAAAGAGAACTGTGATGTTGAAATAGTTTGGATTTTACTTCTTTTCGGAAGGAAATTCGAGCGATAACTTGAATTAGCAGGTAGCTAATAACAACAGACTGACGGAGATCATTGCAGTACTTAGATAGTAATGCACACATTCACATTCAGTATTTTTCTCTTTCTTTGGAAATATCGAGAAGGAAATTCATTCTGAGATAATGGTAGCTTTCAGGGGGTGTTTTTTTATGTATTATTTGACAATAATTGAGTTGAAACATCAAAGAATCCGTTAAAAAAAGTACCGTATATTCCGGCGTATAACGCGCACTTTTAATACAAAAAATAACATTGGAATTTACGGGTGCGCGGTATACGCCGAATATAAAAAATTATAGATTAAAAAAATTCAAATATAGAAAAATACTTTTATTTTAAAGAAATAACATACCTTTACCTATATACTTCATTGATTTTCGTTATTACATAAATAGTTCATTATATTCGTCTTCCGCTATCAATTACAATTATTAAAATTTTTTTGTATTATAATTACAACTTTTTTTGTATTATCTGTAAGGTGGGACCTAAGCATGTTCCACTCTAAAAGGCTTTGTGGTTTTCTTACGCAACCAGGACGGATTTGCCAGATGTTTTTTACTCACAATTTAGCACCATTTTTGTCCATCCAGAATCCCATTATTGCTCTTTCAATTCTACCCTCACATACATGTCAAATTCAGTTCTTTTATTTTTGCAAAAGATAGGGTAAAATACTTTTTATTTACGATCTTGAAAGATGAGATATTGCACATGTACAATCCAAATTTTCGTGCGCGTTATACGAAGAGTATATCGTAAAATTTAAAAAAAGTAATTAGAAATTACGGGTGCGCGTTATACGCCGGGGCGCGTTATGCGCCGGAATATACGGTATGCCTTTTTTTATTTGTTTTATTCATATATTTTGCTTGCTCTCCTCCCCATGTCTAAGAGACAAGCAGCAATGGCTTTCTTAGAAAGTAATTTCAGACTTTGAAAACACCTTTTATTGCCTGATGATAGTTAAAGAAAACATAGAAGAAAATAAGCTTTTAGTTTCATTCTATGTCTGTGAAATACTGATTATTGTATTTAAAGTAATATTAGAGTAGATACAATGGGAAATCAATTCCTTTGGTAAAGTGCAATCAAAATATAAAAAAGAGGTTTTATAGTCGGCTAAGAAAGCTATAAAGATCCAACAAAATTGAAAATCCTAGAAATAATTTTGCAAAAATGTCCTTTATTCATGCATTCTGCTCTTACTGACATATTTTATTAACTATTCCTGGAGAATATGTAAAATATCTCGTCAATGTATGATTGTTTCATGCTTTACGAAAGGTTAATTATTAATGCTTTTTCGAAAATGATGTATGACAATTTAAGTAGATGCAATTTTGCTCCAATCCGAAACATGTGCCGATTCACAGCTGAAGGGTTCTTTACCATCTTCAGTAAAAAAAAAGCATCCGTCAAAACACGAATGTTTTAAAAATGGAACATTGTTAAAAACACACTAACATTTTTTTCTTTCCATTCAATTTTTATAATTTATTGTCGTGAAATACTTATTACAATAGTAATATTTTTCTAATTCAAAGTTATTTGTTCAATCCTTTCTTGATTCTGCTTTTAAACTGTTAAAATGTTTAAATTATTTTACTGAGTCCTCTCTAAACTGATGATGAATAATTTTGTGTGATGTGATAGATTTTGTGTGAGAACGTAATGTTTCGAAGAAATTATGTTATAGCGGTGCTTAGCAAATGTTAGTAATTTTGCAATTTAATATTTAGTATTAGCATTTGGCAATTTCGCTATAACCACTGAAATGTAATTAATTTTCATTTTAGGTTGATGATATGTTTTTAAATATGTCGTTACCTTGTTCAACTGTTGAGGACATTCTCAGTCGATTAGAACTGAGAAAGGTATCTTTGGATACGCAGTGGCTGAATTTGCAGAATGAAATAAGCGCCACGAAAGAAACTCTAATACAGTGGGAACAAATTATTAAAGACTCTAACAAGGTACTGAGATGTTTACCATATCTTATTTTCGTTTACGAAAAAGCAAATTTAAAGCATATTGAAAGTGTGTTGGATTTGTCCATGCTTTTCAATGATTGTTTTGGAATTCATTCCATCTTCCTAAAGGAATAAAAAATTACTGTTATGTCATAAATTGGTGTTATGAACTATACATTAAAATCTTAACTGAATTTAATTAAATGCACTTTTTAATACGCTCTAAAAATTTCAGGTCTAGAACACGGTCAGTGACCGTCATAAAGTGTTTCATTAACTAAATGTAAGAATAAATTTATGCCTGTAAAGCTACCATGACCATGAAAATACAGGTATCCCGTAATTGTTTCCTCGTTATTTCTGGCCACTGATTGTAAGTTAATTTTCTGCTCGTAAAAGTTATCTAAGTTCAGGACTTAATGCTGTTTAAAGACCGGGCAGTTTATTTGGCGAATCAAGGTAAACCACCGAAAGAGGTTAATATGGTTTTTTTGAAGCTCTTTCCCCAAGGAAAATTAAAAAAAAGTTAACAAAGTAAAGCCTCAAACTTGAAGCAAAGCTATAATTTTAAACTACATATGCCATTTTAAATAAATCAGAAAAAAAAAATAATAATCTGAGCTTTAGACCAGACAACTAAAATATTTTTAAAGTTATTAAACTTTTTTAAAAATCCCCAATTTGGTGACATTTTTTTCATCTAGCTGAAAATTATCAAAATCAATGCTTAATTTTTTTTTGCAAATTTTTGAAGTATTTAAAATATAAAAAATAGGCCACAAACGGTTTTCAATTTCTTAAAACTGTGGCTTTTATCCTTGTTGACGTTTTGTGTCATTATCAGAATAAACATAGATGGCACTGGTAAAAGATAAGCTCAACTTGACCTAACAGTCATAATTAACTGTTGCAAACTCTCATAAGTTATGCAAATAGTATTATTTGCACGAAAAAAAGCATCATTTCATGAGATTATAGGGCCTTCGAAAGAAGAAAAAAAAAAGAAAATTTTTTTAGTGTAGTGCTGCCATCTGTTGAGGAATGAGAGAATTACGGGTTTGTCGTCCATGGTAACTAATGTTCAACAAGTGCGAATGGGATGTTTTTCGGCATCAGTTGAGATAGAACCTAGGGCTTTTGTATCTGCAGTCTGCTGCTGTAACCACCATAGAGATTCTCAGTACATCACCAAACTGAGGTAAGGAGCTTTATACAGTGAGTGATGCCCCCATAGGAATTTGTTTGAAATTAAACCAATACTAAAAGTAATTTATTTTGATCGGACAAAACGTTTATTCCGGTTTTAACTATGAAATAGCTTTAGTTTAGTATGAATTCGAATAAAAATTATCAATTTCATCAATTTATATTATATTTTAATAATTTTTTTTCATCATAAATAACTCATTGTAATAGTAACTTTTGTTTAAAAAAATAAAGACATTCTTTTTTCTTTAATCAGGTTCTCAGGTCTTCTCAAGATATCGAGACTAAGATATTTCCTGTAATACCCCACGAATTGTATAAAGCCGAATCAATCGTGCCATATCTAGAAAAAAGTTCTTTAGATATTTTGCCTAAAATAAAGGTAAGATTTTTCTAAGAGGGGTTATTATTCAGAAAATATTGTTGGCAACAAAATTTAATATCCTGATAGTTTTTTGTTGTTGTTTTTACGTCAGTGTTTAAAACATTTGCTTTAAATATGATAACAAAAAAAGAAAAAACGTAACTCAATATTTAGTTAGAATCTAATTAATTAAGTTTATTGCTCAAAATTTGTTTAGCCAAAAGTATATCATTTATTTCAAATGTATTAAAAATTATTTTCATTAACTTTTATTAGCATACATACAGGAAAAACAAAAGTCCAACTACATCAAGGAATTATTTTTAGTATTGTAGGTTTTTTTTTATTAAAAAATGCATCTTCTGCAACAAATATATATTTTTTAAAATCAAAGTTAAAAGTACTCTGGAATTTCAAAAAACGTGTAAATTCGTTTAATTGTTCTTTATGCACTAGAAAGTTTAGTTTTTACAGAATATGTCAAATTTTTATGAGGTTCAATAGATATAATCATTTAAATTAATTAATTGCTAGTTACGTCTAAATATGCGTTACTTTAAAAGAAAACAGTCACATTAGAAATTCGGTGATATAAGGTAACAGTTAAAATTTATCTTCATATAAAATTTTAAAAAATATTCTATTATAATATAAGCGAATATTTTTCTTTTAATATTTTTTCAGATATTTTGTTCTTGAGATTTTTTGTAATAAAATCAGTGGGTTGACGTTTTGTATTTCAAATCACTTTTTATTTAGATTGGAAATAACAGTTAAAAATTTTTTAAATGGGGGGGGGAGGCATTTTCAACACATGAAAAGAAATAAAACCTAAATTTGCCAACGGAACACGGAAAAATAAGGGTAAGAAATTAAAGTAGGAAAACATCAGTAACCATGAAAGAAAGAAATAGAAAATAAACATGAAAAAACAGAGCAAGAAAACCCACTGTGGCTAAAAGGGACAAATTCGGGTAAAAAGTATTTCCACGCCCTATGGAGAGTTGGTGAGGAGCTAAAATCGAAGGGACACATCTCCATATCGCTTTGAAATGCACTTTAAACTGATTTTCCTCTCTCGGCTACGATGTTTTTTTTGTTCTGTTTTTTTATGTTTGTTTTTATTCTCTCTCAGCTACTGCGGTTTTTCTAGTTTTATTTTTCACCTTTATTTTCCATTTTTTGTTGGCAGCTTTACGGTTGATATCTCAAATCCCTTTTTCGACAAGTCTTGGAAATGGGTGCCTATTTTTGAGCGCTTGAAATATGTCGATTGTTTTTTCCAAGCTAGACATTTTTGAAGCGTTTTTTTAACCAAGCAATATCCCACATTTATATTTAAACATACATGCATTTTTCCTCCCATTCAGTCTGTGCAAAGAGAAGTAGAGAATTGTACGAAGAAATGCGAGACCGCTAAACCAAAAGAAGGCTCTCAACGAGAAAAAGATGAATTAATCAAAAAACTCAAAGAAACCGGCCAACTTCTGCAGAAACGATTAACAGATTACCAAGTATTAGTGTCAATGATGACAGCTTTCTTCAAAAATTATGAAGAGGTACTGTTTTGTGTGTTTTTTTATCTACTAATCCTTCTTTGTTGCGCTTAACTTATGAATTTATTTTTGCAACAGTTAGAAAAATTGATAGAAATGCAAGAATCTCAATTCAGAATGACTTCTCTGCCTAATGATGTCTCTAAAATGGATGTCCTGATCCATGATCACGAAGCTAGTCGTCCAACAGTTTCAGAACTTTTTAAATTTAGTCAAACCGAAGCACAGCAGCTCATCAATAAGATAAATGAAGCTGTAAGTTTAAAAATCTTTAAATTTTCTTTCATTATTTATCATTTATGTTAATTTAAAAGTCCCTAAACTGCAGCCCACTAACAAGAGTCAGTTAAATAATTTGCACTTCTATCCGTACCTCAATTACATTGTTAGAAATATCTGGGGAAAATGCTTAAATAACAATGTATTTAATGGTTATTTTATCATATTCAATCAGAAGAGTCAAATAATTATAAATAAAGGTCTGGTTTCTTTGGACAAGCGCCTTATCTGGACGTCAACGTCCTGCTGACGCCAAAAAAATACTTTTTTGTTAGCTCAGCGTGAGCAGTTGGTCCAACGCAGACATTATCTCTCATTGCGCATGCGTTAATAACGTAAACAAATATTTATTTTGAATTTGTATTGATTTTGTTATTGTCGACNAAAGATTTCGTATGAAAGGGTTTAGTTAATAATCACTTTGACTATTCTTTTTAACTATCCATAACATTCAATTACATAATAATAATGATGGTATAACTATATTTGTTCCAGATAATTTCTTTTCGATTTATTTTGAATTTCATAACTTATGTTCAATATTTATAAGTTATGTAATTGCGTGACGATACTTATGTTCTTACTTGTCTATTCATTCAGCTATTATTTCAATTTCAATTTAAAAAAATACAGTTGTATTTTAATACACTTAAAAATGAATGTTTAGGAACCGCCAACAGCTGCTGCCTTGGACAGAGAAAAGATTTCCTCATTTCTTTCAACTAGAAAGCAAACGTTTGATAAAGCATGGGAGGAATTCAAATACAGGCTGGAGCAACACAATCAACTCTGCATCTTTTTCAGGGATATGCATTTGGTATGTAGAAATATGTTCGAAATGTTATCATTCGCAGGATGTCCCAAAATTTCAAGTGATTCCCATCAGAATTTTAAATTCTGATGGAAAACACGGGTTCTTAAATAAAAATTTTGATATTTTAGTAAAATAAGTAAGTTTGGAAAAGCTTTCCGGTTAATAGACCTACCTGGTATTGCTAGCAGTGAGCTTAATACTGCTGTGAAATTGAAAAATCAGCGTAAACAACAAAAAATTCAAAATTGAGACTTTTTTAGATTTGGAATCTTTATATGGCAGAGCTACATAAAGCAAAAAAATTCAAAAATAAATGTTGCTTTATCAGTTTTTTGAAATTCTATTTTAGCGTTCATAACGCGAGCAATATAAGGAGAAAAGTTGTCAAGCTACTTATATCGGAATCAATCGTAAAGCACTTACGTTGTTTTTTCAATTGCACAGTAGAATAATGTTCAGATTTTTACTCAAATATAATTTATTTTATTTTTTTAAAATGTAGTGCTCCATTTTAAAGCAACTTAACTTATCGTTTTTTTTGCCTCGTTTTTTTGCTATATTTTTTGCACAAATATCATTTGCATAATATCGCGGGACATCCGCTAGTTCCTGCAACAATTTTATTTCATTCAATACAGTTTCGTTTTCATCATTTTTGAAAAAAATATTTGTCATTGTTTTTTTAAAATTTTTTTTTAATAATATTTCTTGGGCCTACTGACTGAGAAACTTAAGATATACTGAAAAGTGAAACGTAATATAGAGATAAAATTTACTAGGACAGCTAAACCTCAAAAATATAATTTAAAGAAATTTGTGCAATTCAATGCGTTGTTTAAAATTAATTACAGAATTCGCAAAAAATGTAAAATTCATGTAACTTTTATTTCAGATTAACAAGCAAATTGAAGATTTGAATTCCCAATTAACATCAATCCGTGAAAGTTACGGAGACTCTTTGCCGTCAGCTTTACATACTTCAGATGCCTTCTTGCATTTTGAAAAGACTATCGAGGTAAGTAGATTCTTATTTGTAATTTTTATAATACTTGAAATACTCAGGGTGTTCTGCAACAACCACTCTTAATGCATTTTTTTAAAGAATTTTTGTCGAAAATGAAATCAAAGAAAAATAAACACTGTCAGAGTTTATTTAATTAATATTTAAGTGAGTTAAAAAAAAACGAAAAATTATAGAAATATATCGAATTATTACCGAAGAGACCTGTTGATAAAAATAAAAGTTTATAGGTAATAATTGGAAACACCTCTAAATTTCCTGAAGCAATAAAACTGGCTTTGATATTCTCAGTCATGACTTTTTCAGTAATGCTACATTCGCGATGTAATTTCTTTTTCGCTTAAATATTAGTTTCAGATCCCTAAGATGCATACTTTTTTTAGTCTTCTAAGAAGTATAGATTAAGAGTGGTGATTACAATACACCCTTTTTTGAAGGAAGTAACATGATCTTAAACTAAGTTAACTTTTTTTTTTTAAATTAACAGCTGCTGCAAATACGTATTTATGAGTTCGTGAGCACTGCAGAGAGATTGATGCGTGATCAGAGAGTTGACTCAACCCAAATGCACCAAGAAATTGAATCGATGCAGAAGAAGTGGTCCACTTTTAGAACTGAGGTCACCACCAATCGAAAAATGATTGATGTGGCCATTGAATACTACAAAATCATTGAAGAAGTAATTATTATTTTATCTTTAGTTTGTTTTATAATAAATCCATAGTTTGCTTAAATGAATAATTAATTAGTTGAGATTATTAGAATTAGTTGAGATTATTACAATGAATCTTTCATTTGTTGGCAAACAAAATAGTTTATCAACCTCTAATTTGTGGTGCAGCGTGTTTCAAATGTTGTGTCTTATTTAATTTAGCTAGTATTGCTTGCATAAGTATTAATTTATAATTTTTAAAGAAGAAGAATTTTGTCCCTTCAAATTGGAAAACAATTATTGAATATTAATGATAGGAAGCATTAGCCTTAATTCAATAAATGTTACTAAAACTAGTATTTAATTTAAAAGTAAAACTTAATGTTTATTTATAAAGCATGAGTAAATTATTTTTATGCTCAGGTTTATAATCAGAAATGATAGTATTTTCCCCTCTTCTACTACAATTTAAACTAAAAATATACCTCCCCCCCCCCAAATATTTATCTTAGGGTTCTAGTTCGCCTTCCATGAGCTAACGTCCACAAATGACTGCTACTAGGTAGCAAAAAGGCCGACCGGCCTGTGTAGGGATTAGGGAACTGCCCTTGCATCAGAAAAATTCTATGTTCGAATCCCGGGCAAGACATGGATGTTCTTTCCTTATCTGTCCTTACTGTGGGAGCAACGCTTGCCCACCTAATATGGTGCTCCTGAAAGAGTGGCCAACAAATTTGCCCTTCAGGTGCCTGTATGACCTAAATCATTATCCAGGTGGGCATTGGAAAAAAAAGGTAGCAAAAAAAAAAGCACCATAAAATTGTTGGATGTAATTGAATTGCAGGCAGGTAATCGTTGAATTGACGAGTTTTTGGCAACTCTGCAAAAAATGGTGGGTAATAGCTTTCTTATAGTTGTTATCTATGCAATAGCTACAGAATTCATAAGTACTGGCCAGCTGATGTCCAAATTTTTGATTAGACGGTACGAATGCCATGCATTAATCACAACTCAAGTTGATGGCAAATGAATATTGATCAGACAAATTTGCTGCAGGTTACCGGCATTTTTCCAGCACTGTCCAAGCAAATTCACTTTTTCAGGTTCTTATAATACATATATATTTAGATGGCCCTGAAAGTTATACATTAATCACAGCTCAAGATGAGAGGAAAGAAATGATGACTATACGCAAATTTATGGCTGGCTATCGACATTTTTTAAGCACTGGCACGGCAAATTTGTTTTTGCTGGGGCTAATAATATATGTTATGTTATGAACTATGCATAAAAAATTTCATACACAGCATACAAAAAATATTTCCTGTTTCAATACAATAGTTTTAATTGTGATTCTTTAATAATTGTTTTAGTTAGTGAAAAAATAAAATTACTCTAATTTAATATTTTGCTATAAAATTATTAAATATGAAGATAGTAATGATGTAAAAATTTGCGTTTCAGTCTGAGGAATGGTTGAAAGAAGGTAGTAGCTTGCTAATATCGATTGCTCGAAAGTCTTCAACTTGTACCAAGCAATCGGATGCTGATGACCTGAAGAAAGAAATTCGAACTTTTGTAGATAAAGGTCGAGAGAAGCAAGAAGAAAGATTGAGAAAAATTTCATCTCTGTCTCAGCAGCTATACGGTAAATGCAGATTGTGAATTATCTGAAATAATGAAGTGTTTCTGGCAGTATGACGAAAAAATTACAATTTCATCGTTTTTTTTTTCTTAAGGAAAATTCCGTAATTACCGCCTTTAGTATATACACAGTCCAGTCACATTAATGTGACCACTACCTACTTTCGACTTCAACGTGAAATAACCAATCACAGAAGGCAGGTGGCAGCACATTACAGTGGATTGTATATGTAGGATGTCCTAATGCATCTGAAAGCATTTCAATCGTTGGCGTAATGCAGAAACGTAGCGATTTATCCGACGTCCAAAAGGGCATGATTATTGACTTTCGGACCAAGGGTGGAAGCATTTCGGAAACGGCTGATTTTGTGAACTGTTCGTGTGCCTCCGTGGTAAAAGTATACCGTGCATGGCAAAATGGCACCATACAAAACAAGCGGCGCGGCACATGTTGTGCACCACGGGCCATAGATGACAGAGATGAACGAAGGCTACGGAGATGCGTTCAGGCGAATAGACGTGCAACTGTTGAGCAACTGACCACCCAGATGAATCAAGAAACTACCAAGAGTGTATCCTCAACCACTGTTCAGCGAACGTTGCTGCGCATGGGCCTCCGCAGCAGACGCCTGATTAATGCACCTATGCTGATTGCTGTTCATCGGCGACGAAGGCTGGAATTTGCACGCCAGTACCGCATCTGGACGCCCACAGAGTGGCAGCAGGTGGCTTTTTCCGATGAATCACGTTTTATGCTCAATCGCACAGATGGACGTTGGCGTATACGGCGTGAAACGTCTGAAATCAAACATCCTGCAACAATTGTCGGAAGGCTGCAGGCTGGAGGAGGGAGCATTATGGTTTGGGGGATGTTTTCCTGGCATTTACTGGGTGCACTCATCATTGGGGAAGGCACGATGTATCAGCACAAGTACGCATCTGTCCTTGCGGACCATGTCCACCTCTACATTCGAATGATTTTTCCTCAGAATGATGGCATCTACCAGCAGGACAATGCGAGGTGTCATACAGCTCGCAGTGTGTGTGCGTTGTTCGAAGAGCACCAGAATGAATTCACCGGATTTAAACCTAATCGAGAATCTGTGGGACCACCTCAATCGGGTTGTTCGCGCCATGGATCCTCAACCGCGTAATCTAGGGCAGCTGGCCACGACACTGGAGTCGGCATGGCTTAGCATCTCAGTGAACACCTTCAGAAACCTAATTGACTCTCTTCCTGCACGTCTCGAAGCGGTTCGCTCTGTTAAAGGTGGTTATTCTGGATTTTGACAGGTGGTCACATTAATGTGACTGGACTGTGTATATCGGTAATATTTAAGCAATGACTATACAATTTCTTAATTTTAAAATTACGCAAATTGCTGAAACTGATTTTTCTTAATCAGAAAATATGTGATACTCTGTGGCTCGGCGATATTTTAATTTAAATACTTATATTTTACGTAACTGATTTTCAAAATTTCCTCACTTTTCTCAACCATAATGCATATTTAGATAAATGTTAAATAATAAAATTTTGAGAAAAGGGAATCTCCAATACTTTGTTTGCCTGCTAAGCGAGCGTATAGCTAATTTTATGAATTTTCGATTCAATTTTAATTTATTTTCTCTCTACTGAGGAAAGCTCTTTACACTAACCTTTTATAGGGAATTTTTTAACGGTAATTATTGTTAAAATAATTCTCGGATTGTGATTAGTTTCTAAAATCTTACGTATTTCCTAAGTTAAACAATTGTTAAACAATTTTCTGTGTCTAAGGTGATCTTAAAAATTTATTCACTGTTAGGAATTTACCTTAAATGTGAACTTCTGTATTTAAATGATTAAAATCATGCAGAAATAATTTAAGTGGGCAAGGTTCAAATCAATACGTAACTCGCTAGTAAAATAGCTCTTCAGAGTTAGCCTCCCTTTTTTGACCCCACTCCTACCTTTACTGCTACTCACATTTATCTAAAGGCACTTAATATTTATATTTTTTAAAGGTATCTGCATCTAGTTACACGTATAATTAGTATGAAAATAGCTTTCTATCGGCATTTAAAAATTAATGAAGTTTTCTCAGGCCTTGTAAAATGTTAAAGCTGGATTAATATCCAAAAATTTTGATAAATACGGCTGATCCCCCAGTGAGTGCGTTATCAATTTAGTTTATTCTGTTTTAAATATTCAAAATATTTATGTTCGAATAATGTATTCATATATTATATAATGTATTTACAAATTTGAGTGAGAAAGTTTTAAAAATTATAAAGTAATATTCACAATGAAAAACATTAGAAATATATATCAAAAGCAGAATTTTTTAAAATTTTAAGTGCAAAATTTTTATTTTAAGAACTAGTTCTTTAACCGTTTGAGTGCTGAAGAGTTTTCTTATATCTATGCTAATAGTGCGGAATGAAATACGTACAACACTACTAACCAACTACTACCAACCAACTACTACCCAACCTATACTAACCAACAGCAGCGTCTCCTCCTTTTTGACAAATAACAAGCGAAGCGCGATAGTGCTTCGCCGCACTCAAACAGTTAACAGAGAACAGGCTTAAAATAATAAGCTTGTCTAGGATAATTTGTTCTAGACAGACGTTCAGTTACAGTGGTTAAATTCCACGAATCCATGTACTTCATCTTAAAGTAAATTATTAAATTTTTACTGCGGGTTAAACTTATTATGCCAATCAAACAGGCTTTAGTGCATCAGTAGGGTTGAAGAATTGGGCATTGAATGCACATTGCTTCCTTGTGGTGGCTGGTTCCCCTGCCTGGTATTGTTTGTTACGTTGAAGACGTCAAATACCCGCTAAAGCCGTATTTATCAAAAGCTTGCCGCGAACAAACCCGGTTCGTGGGTCTACTAGCTTCCTGCGGTCACCAAATATTCCCGTTTAACAACTTTTTACAATTAAATCACATGTGAAAAATCTTTAATTACGACATTTAAATTGGACAGAAATTTAATTTCATATTTAGTTTTTAAACTTGTAATGAAATGTTTTTATAACGTTTAAATACAATTCCGTGTAGCGAAACTTCTGTTCCTTTGCNATGATTATTGACTTTCGGACCAAGGGTGGAAGCATTTCGGAAACGGCTGATTTTGTGAACTGTTCGTGTGCCTCCGTGGTAAAAGTATACCGTGCATGGCAAAATGGCACCATACAAAACAAGCGGCGCGGCACATGTTGTGCACCACGGGCCATAGATGACAGAGATGAACGAAGGCTACGGAGATGCGTTCAGGCGAATAGACGTGCAACTGTTGAGCAACTGACCACCCAGATGAATCAAGAAACTACCAAGAGTGTATCCTCAACCACTGTTCAGCGAACGTTGCTGCGCATGGGCCTCCGCAGCAGACGCCTGATTAATGCACCTATGCTGATTGCTGTTCATCGGCGACGAAGGCTGGAATTTGCACGCCAGTACCGCATCTGGACGCCCACAGAGTGGCAGCAGGTGGCTTTTTCCGATGAATCACGTTTTATGCTCAATCGCACAGATGGACGTTGGCGTATACGGCGTGAAACGTCTGAAATCAAACATCCTGCAACAATTGTCGGAAGGCTGCAGGCTGGAGGAGGGAGCATTATGGTTTGGGGGATGTTTTCCTGGCATTTACTGGGTGCACTCATCATTGGGGAAGGCACGATGTATCAGCACAAGTACGCATCTGTCCTTGCGGACCATGTCCACCTCTACATTCGAATGATTTTTCCTCAGAATGATGGCATCTACCAGCAGGACAATGCGAGGTGTCATACAGCTCGCAGTGTGTGTGCGTTGTTCGAAGAGCACCAGAATGAATTCACCGGATTTAAACCTAATCGAGAATCTGTGGGACCACCTCAATCGGGTTGTTCGCGCCATGGATCCTCAACCGCGTAATCTAGGGCAGCTGGCCACGACACTGGAGTCGGCATGGCTTAGCATCTCAGTGAACACCTTCAGAAACCTAATTGACTCTCTTCCTGCACGTCTCGAAGCGGTTCGCTCTGTTAAAGGTGGTTATTCTGGATTTTGACAGGTGGTCACATTAATGTGACTGGACTGTGTATTTCTAGTATAGCCTTTTCAAAAATAAAGTAAAAAGGTATAGTCGTTACTGCAGTGTGATTGAAAAAACGATGTAAGTGCTTCATTATAGATTCCAAGAAAAGTGTTTTGACAACTTTTTTCTTTCTATTGATAATGCTAAAAATACTAAAACAGAACTAGAATAAAATTTATTTGTGAGAAAAAAATGTTTATGAGATATGTAGTTCAAATATATACAAATCTCAATTCGGAAATTTTTTTCTTTATCGCTTACGTTGATTTTTTTTATTGCACGGCAGAGTAATATTTAAGAAAAGAAGAAACAAAAAACTATCAAAATCTGTCAAATCGAGGAAACCAAAGTTATAAATATAGATATTCATGTCACCTTCTCCAATAGCGATTCGATTGATTTTGATTGCATTTTTGTTTCCTTCTGTTTTAAAAATCGAATCGTGACATCTAGTTTTGCATGCATTATTTACAAGACTTCTATAAACATATATTAAGAAAGGCCTTTGAGAAACATTCTTCTTTCCATGTGCAACATAATTTGTAAGTTACTACAGTGTTATCACCTTTATTTTACGAAGCTAAAGGGTAAAAATACAATTTTAAACTTGTATCAAATGGCTAATAGATAAATAATAAATAGCTAATCAAATAGATAAAACTAATAAAAATCACTATTTAAAATGCGATATCCTTAGATTTCATTACTGAAGGGAGGTAGAATGATTATTTAACTAATTATAATTAGTTATTTTACATTAACAGGATATGTTAACAATTTTAAATTTACAATCAAAATTCAACTTACCGCAATGAATCAGCAGACTGTAGGCAAATTGTTTTGTTATAGTAGGGTGCGTATCGTTCTTAAAATGTGCTTAAAAGTGCTTATTTTTGATTCACGTATTTTGAAAGCCTTAAAGGTGCTTTTTTTATTTGGGGTTTGTAAAAAGTGCTTAATTTTTTATCTTTTAAAAAGAGATTTTTTTTTTCGTGTCGACTGTCGTTGTAAATTAAAAATGCATGATTTTCAAAATTTTCTCTGCAATATTTATCAAAAACTACGTAGTTATTTTATCATGATTATGTAAAGTTTTTGAATATGTTTTTGAATTTTATTGATTTTATGTTCATAAATTAGGAACTTTAAATGACAAATTTTTTTTTTATTGCTGCACTATAATTTCTTTTTTTTTTTGGAAAGCGATAAAAAATACTTTTTTATTGTTTAGAAAGTATTTGAAAGGTGTTTATTTTTTGGTGAAAAATCTGGCTACGCACCCTGTATAGTCAGTTGATTATGCTTTATAAACTGTTCCACATTTTGTAATGTTACCCTTCAAGCTAGTAACAAAACTTGTTTTATTGAAACATAATAATAAAAATCCCGAAGAACAGCTGCAATCGACTAATCAACTGAAAACATTTTTTCAGTCCAACTTGAATAGATAGTTCTGGATTGAGAATGAGATTTATTAAAAAAATAATAAAGATATATATTTTTGAACATAAACTGAAAAAAAAGTAGATCCTGGAAAAGTAAAGAACGTTTGAAATAATAAGTTATAAAATATAGCGATAATAACAACTTTTTATTTTTACCTTGAAGTATTACAAGTTTTACAAAATAAATAATCGTATCCATCAAATCATTTTTAATAAAATTACATTTAGCTTTTAAATAATTTTAACTTCTTTAAATTTTGTTCAATGTTTTTTTAGTAGTAGAAATAAAAACAAATTACGACTACTCAGTTTTTTATAATTGTTGAAATAATAATTCCACCTGAAGTCATATTTTGTGGAATAAAATAAAAAATATTATGATTTAATTAACGAAAATATTATTACAACTAGGAATGTCTTTGCGTATAATAAACTTCTGGTCGTAAATAAATATTTATTTAACTTTATTAGGTTATCAAGGACACTCTTCTTCAAATATAATTAATAACAAGAACAAGGATATGATGGACTCGTTTTCTGTAATTACATCTGAGCTTAACACTTTGTCAAATAACATTAAAGTTGCTCAACAAGCCAAGATTGCTGAACAAAAAGGAAAGGTAAGCTCATAATAATTATTTCGTATTTTTTTTAAAACTTGTGTCAGCATGACCCGACAGCACTTCTCTGCAATAAAACTTATTTTGAGAATTTCTTATTGACTAGACAAACTGTTTCGTTTCTTATTTACTCTAAATATGAAAGTAAATGATGTTTACCAAAGCATAGCATGATGTTTGTGAATTTTAACTAATTTAATGTAACTAAAAATAAAGTTAACATAAAACATTTTTAATTTTATTTATTCTTATTTATTAAGTTAAGTAAAACTTTGTTAATTTGTTTCGTGAAAAATTTATTTTTAACGGCAGGCACTTTTTTTAGCGAACCCGGAATTGTTGTTCATTTAACGTTCCCCGAAGGGCACCCATAAACCTGAGTCCCTAAGGCAAACAATGTCAGTCACGCTATACTACCACAGACCCTCTCATGGGGTGAGCCACATTAATACATCATAAAGAGCCGTAGTGGCTCAGGGGATAGAGCGTTCGCCTGAGGTGAATCTGGCTCGAATCCCAGCGATGGCTGCCCGATACGAATTCCGTATCCGGCTTGCAATGATCACAGAGCAGACGTAAAATATCCTCAGTGGTAGACGGATCATGGGTTAGATTCCTTTTGCCGTCAAGATAATCGTGGAATGATTTCGTAGTTTTCCTCTCCATGTAACGCAATGCGAGTTAGCTAAATCTAAAAGTCCTCCACGAAGGCAAATGTCTCCCAATACTTGTCTTCTGTATTGGGTTCAAAATTACAAGGCTACGTAGTAGAACATTAATAGTCGTAAACCCTAAAATTGGGTCGGCTGTTCAATGACGATTATAAAATAAAATAAAATACATCACAAAACAGAGGACAAAACACAGAGAGAAACATCCATGTCTCGAATATGCAATCATTGGCTTTGCAGTTTGGCACGTTGACCGCTCGGCCACTATCCTGTGAAATGAAATAAAGTTAACTGTTTTACTTTTTTAAATTTTTATCGGGGAGTTGAAAATTTTCCTATAGATCCTTCAATGCTTTCCTTGACTAGAAATAAATTACGAAGATGTTTCTGGATGTATACAGATTTTAAAGTGCTACTTGTCGGACTCTAATTGATAAGAATCAGTTGTCACTACCTAAAAAAGCAACGAATAATCACTTTCCTTCGGTTAAATTTTTTTTTTGCTAGCTGATGATTTTGGAAGAAATGACTGGGAAGAAATAACAAACATATACAGAGCACACTGATGCAACAGTAGCAACAATCAGATGATGCAATCAATCAAAAAAAATAATGACTACTTACTTTCCCACTAATGACTAGCCAACAACAGCTAAGGCACAAAACTTATGGCCAGCTAATGCCCTTACTATTGATTCGTCTGTGGACAAGAAGGTGTGAAGAAACGCTGGTAAAACTACATTCATAAAATATTGTTTTATTAGCGACTGCAATAAGCTTGTAACTAAGTTTAAAAAAAAGTGATGAATAAATACTTACTCTTTTTGGGTAAGCCAACTTTAGCAGGGCTGAAAATTTCTTGTCAGCTTGTGATTTTTTTACCAATTTGACTGTATGCCAATATAGGGATTACACCATATCCATATCATATTGATGTATCATTGACGACAATCAGCTGATACTACATTAAAAACTACTAAACAATAGCGTTTTCCTTGATGGCTAGCCAGCAATAGCTAGGCACAAAAATGGTGGCTTGCTAATGACCTTTACTGTTGATTCGTCTGTAGGCTAGGAGGTGTCAAGAAGCATATTCATAAAATATTGTTATTTCAGCAGTTACAATTATACCACGTAAAGAAAAGCAACGAATAATCGCTTTCCCTTTATTGGTAAACCAGCACTAGCAGGGTTAAAAATTTCTTGTTGGCTTACAATTTTTACTACCAATTTAACTGTATGCAAATAAGGGATAGCAACATATTCATAGAATATTGATGTATCAGGGACGACAATCAGTTGATACTACATTAAAAAATATTAAACAATCGCTTTTCCTTCAATGGCTAGCCAGCAGTAACTAGGCACTTTAAAGCTGGCCAGCTGATGGCCTTTACTGTTGATTTGTCTGTTGGCTGGAAGGTGCCAATACACATTTCATGAAATATTGTTCAATCAGCGACTTCAGTCAGCTTATACCACGTGAAAAAACAATGAATAATTGCTTTCCGTTTGTTGGTTAGTCTATCTGGCAGGGTTAAATATTTTCTGGTCAGCTGATAATCTTTATTGGTAATTCGTCTGTAGCCCAATAATATGCCAGCCCAATACTTTATTTCCTAGCACTGGGCCGACAGCACTGTTCCTAGCACTGTTCGGAAAATTTTCTTTTCTTATCTAATTATCACCTTTAAATGGAAACGGAATAGATGATGCACTCATTCTGCAAAAAATGTCAAATAAGTTGCAAAAACAAAAATTGTTTCTTTAAAATGTAAATTTTTTTTTGTTTAGCAAAAATGCGCTTAAAAAAATATACTTGTAGACATTATTTTCATTGAAACTGGTATATTGATAGTCAAAAATGTTATTATTCAATTTTATTTAGACTAAACCATGATTCCACATTGCATAATAAAAATATAATTTTTCATATTTTAATTCCAGCCATTATAATCTCATTTAAACTGTTATCCATAACTATTTCTTAAATGTTTCACCCTCATTTTTCAAAACTATGTATTTTGAGTAAATAGTAGTTTAATTTCTTTTAAAATAAAATTTTCTGTATTAAATTTGATTCAATTAATTTACTTGTTTTTTATTGTTTTTAATAGGAAGAGATGGATGCTGTACTCCATGCAGCCCAAGCTGAAGCTGAAGCAGCTAGAATAGCTGCCGCTACTGCTTTGCAAGCTGCTAAAGCAGCTGAAGAAGCAGCAAAAGCTATACCTCCAAAATCAGTTGAACCTCTACAAAAACCTCCTCGTTTTATCAGAAACCTAAACGATGCTGAAGTCACAGAAGGAAGTAAATTTACTTTTGAATGTGAAGTTGAAGGAGTTCCCACACCTCAGGTAAAGCAAAACAAGGTTTGAATAATTTTAACTGTATTTTTAGTTTTTGTTCATATTCTTCAAATTTTATTTTTTTATGTTTGTGTTGTGATATTTGTTTATTTGTAATGAATAAAAAAATTCCAACATATTTTTTCATTTTTATTTATGAAATTTGAATAAATTTAATATTTTATTTTGCTCCTTATCATTTTACACAGACATTCAGTGAGACTTACAGATATTTTGCCAAGATTTGATGTAGTTCTTGAAAATTGTAGAATTAGATACCTGCAAGTGACGCCATTGTCAGTAAATCGCGGCATTTGTCGATTCAGGAGCCAATTAGGTTCGACACATGCACGTGATGTCGCTTGCAGGTATCCAATTAAAGCACAAGGTTACTTAATCACATGGTTAGGCATAATCAATTTACTTCTTTTCGAGTTCAAATACCTAATTAACTAAATTGAATTTTCCAACAAGTTTTAAATTGTTTTAAATTCAAAGGCAACTAAGTTTATTTTTAATTACTTAAAGAATAATATTTTTTTAGGTCATAAATTAAGAATATAATATGGAAAGCACGTTTCAAACTTCAAAATAAATAAATACAAAAATAATAACTAACTGAGTAAATAAAATAAAATAAATAGGTAATTTAATGTATAAAAAAATAAATGAATAAATAAATAGATGAATAAATAAATAAATAGGCAAATAATGAAACTAAATTGATTGAGAGGTTGAAAGTTTTGAGTATGATTTAGAGATTAATTTTTAAGATATTTGTACTAAACATAATTTACCAGCAGGCTTTAATTGATTTTAAATTTAAAAGCCATTAACTCCATTTTCAAATACCCATAGAATAGCGTTTTTTAAGGCAATAAATTAGGAATATAATTTGAAATGTAGGTTTGAAATTTCAAGATAAATAAATAAATAAAAATTTACTAAATGAATAGATAAAATGAATAAGTAAATCTATAGATAAAAAATAAACGAATGAATGAATAATTAAATTAATAGTGAAACTAAATTGATTGAAAAACTGAAAGTTTAGATCATAATTTAGAGATAATGTTTTTAAAATATTTGTACTTATTTAAAATGAATTTGGTTACATAATTTTTTTTATCATATGCATATCATATTTTTTAAGGTGCAATGGTTTAAGGATGGTATTCTTGTTGAAAACAATCCTGACTACCAAACTTCTTTAGAGACAGGTGTTTGTAAATTAACCATTGAGGAAACTTTTTCGGAAGATACGGCTAAGTTCACTTGTCGAGCTACAAACCCAGCTGGCATTGCTGAGACTCAAAGCCATCTTGTTGTTAAAGGTAAATTTACTTTTTGTTTTGGAGGTTAATTAATTTAATTTCGGTCTTAAACGTAAACTAATTTTGATTTTTGAAGTAAATTAATGTTAATTTAAAAATAAATTGATTTCAATTTTAAAGAATCATAAAGATTTAAGACTATTTCAATTTTGAAGTTAATCTATTATTGATTTCAGAGATAAATTAATCTTGATTTCAAAGATGAAGTAATTTTGATTTTGGAGGTAAATTAATTTGGATGTCGGGGTTAAATTAATTTTGATTTTAAACGCAAAGTAATTTTCATTTTCAGAATAAATTAATGTTAATTTAAAAGTAAATTAATTTCAATTTGTAAGATTAATTTGTTTGAGTTTTTAAGGTAAACTATTATTGATTTCAAAGATAAACTAAATTTGATCATAGAGGAAAACTAGCGTCAAATTAAAGACAATTTGATTTCAATTTTAAAGATAAATTGAGAATTCAGGGATAAATCAATTTTGATTTCAGCAAAAAATTTATTACATTTTTTGATGATGAGCAAAAGATTGATGAAGAATTTTACATTCATAATCATGTTTTAAAATTTTTATTTTTAAAATGTTAGAATATAGTGAAGAAGAATAGAATATCGTAAAGTCATTTTTAAACTTAATTACAGAAGTCTTTAGGGTTTATTGCTGATCTTATGAATGTAAATTTAAATAAAAACTGATTTTTCTTCTTTACCTTTGTTAAAATACCATAGCTATTAGCAAAATATAAGCATTGTTGTCTGATAAAATGAACAATGAATCTTAGTAAAAATAATTATAAACAGCATACCCGTATGATGTATCAAAACCATGGCTAATATCAATCAACACCATATCTATTACCAGTTTAGATATACTATACTGTAAAAAAATTTCGTATATCTGAACACCACAAATGGTGTACAAAATGGTACAAATTGTACTTTGTACAAAATGGTGTTCCAAAATCCAAGGATGTTTCTGTTGGTGTGAAGCACCTAGAATATTCCTTCACACCATTTCGAGTTAAGTGGCCGCCACGAACCATCGTGTTTGCTAACACTAAAATTTATAATTACAGTAAGATATGATGAACGTGAGAATCAGTAAAGCAATTTCTATGAGGCAATATAAAGTAAGATTTAGTATTTTAGATTGTATACACCACACTTAATTCTTAAAATGAAATGACTTAGCAAATCAAACTTGCGCGCAGTAGAAAGAATATTACGACTAGGCTTAACGGAATTCGAACTAGGCTTAACGGAGCAGGAGCGATTATACATAATGAAATTGTTACGTTTACAGAGACCTTGAAAATTAAAATAGAATTAACCTTATTACGCAACTATAAGCATTCATACATGTTTTTAACTGCGCTTTTTGCAGATGAAAGGCAACATTAAAGACAGCCGCAAACACTCCCCAACTCGCTATTAATTGTAAACAATTAAAGACAAAATCAAAATGCGCCAACATTGGAGTCTTTTGGAAGCGAAACCATTTAACGTATGGTGTAAGGGGGAGTGATATTGGTATAAAAGTTTTGTATTTAAGGTGTTCAGAGCTTTCATACACAATTTAAATTCTATATGGAAGCTCGATTTGGTGTTAACCTTTTTAAAAAAGTGTTCTTTCATGCAATTTTTTATTTCGCGTAGTTTTTTTAATATTACACCACAGTTTGTACAGTGTACTTCAAAGGTATACGGTTTGAAGCAATACTGCGCTTAAAAAGGGTTAACCCTTTGACGCAATGGGCCACCGGTTTACATATAATTTTTCTTACTCTCTAATTACAAACAAAACTATATTTTGGTAATTTTTTAATTATAAACAACAATCTAATAGATACTAAAAAAATCTGTTGGATTATCGGAATTTAATTTATACTAAAATTTAAAAAAAGTAGTTGAAATCTTTTTTCAATAATATTCAAAAAGCTATCATTCAATGATTTTGTAAATTAAAGAATTTTTAATGATGAATAACTGTTTTTTTAGTGCAAATTTGAAAAATTATTGTTTGGAAGTGACCCATGTTTGGAAGATTTTTCATTTAACACAACACCAATGTTTCATGCTGTATTTCACAACCCTAATTTATTAAAATGCTAAAATAAAATATTTTTAACTTAATATGACTAAATTAATTCAAAATAATGAAAAAAATATGAAAGATATATATTTAATAAAAATTCTGCGTCAAGGAGTTCTGTTGCTTCTTCTGTTGCTCATGTGTTAATCTTATACGTTGAATATTCTGTTGCTTATTTTCAGAATCTCGAACTCAAAATGAACTTATCCCACCGCATTTTGTGCAAGAACCATTAGACGCCGCGATTGTTGAAGGAGAATCCCACCAACTTGAATGCAAAGTTTTTGGAAATCCACTACCTCTTGTCTCGTGGTTCAAGGATGAAATATGCATTGATTACTCTACAGAATATTCTATAACTTACAACAACGGTTTCTGCACACTTAAAATTGATGAAGCCTCAATGGAGCACCACGGAAGGTACACGTGTCGTGCAGTGAATCAAGTTGGTCAAGTAGCTTGCAGCGCTGATATAAAAGTGCAGAGTATGTATTTGATTTCTTTACTAGTTATAATAGATAAATTTTTTAAATTTAGTCTGGTTAATGAGTTGAATGAGTTACCCCAACATCTTCATATTATTATAGAACAGGCCTTGTATGATGTATAATGTGTTTTGTTTATAATTTTTCTTAGTTCATAATATTTAATAGTTCATAATAATAATATCTTCATAATATTCTAGAACAGGCCTTGTATGATGAATAATATGTTTCGTTTATCATTTTTCTTAGTTATTATCGTTAATAACAAAATAAATAGCTTTTGTGTCTATCTTAAAACTTCAGGACAGCTTGTGTTTTCCTAAATTTAGATAGCGGATTTAGGGGGAAATTTTAGGCCCCGATTAGGCCGAAATTTGTTCAACCATTTTAATTAGTCTGATTGGGAAAGATGCCTGTAAAAAATTTTTTATCATAGAATTTCCTTTGAGAAAAATTTGTAAAATTCTAAAATTCACATTGATTTGCTAATTAAACTGCTGACAGTTCTATTTTTTAAAATTATTTAAAAGATGTTACAAGTGTTTCTTTGGTTGCAGTTCTTTTTATTAACTGCAATTTCAATAACTACTATTTTTTATTAATTGTATTTTATAACAGTACTGTAATTTTACTAGAATTTTTTCCCCCATGTTGTTCAAAGTATGGACGTTATGATTCAATGTTGTACTGATTTTCCCGTGCGTTGAAAACGAGCTGATTACCATAGATATTTCTGTAATTTTTTTTTCAAATTTTAAATACATTTTTCATTAAAATGTCAAAATTTGTTTACCATCAAAAATAGTTTGATAATTGTTAAATTCATTTTGAACGGTTGTTGAATGAGCGATTATTCTATCTTTTTTACAATAATTTTTTTTATCTCTATCAAATGATTTTTATCAATTTTAATAAAACTATTTGTTTGTTCTTATTTTGTTTAGCTTCAGCTCCTTCAGAGCGGCCATATTTTACTTCACCTCTTTCAAATGTAATGGCTAGAGCTGGTCAAAAACTGAGATTGGAATGCTCCGTATCTGGTCAGCCTCAACCACAAGTAATATGGCTCCACAACTCCAAATCATTAAAGGAAACTAGGGACACTAAAGTAATTTTTTTATAATTCTAACAAATTTTTTTCAAGAAATATTTATTCAAGCAAATTTAACTCTTTTTATTTCATGTAATAGAACTTGTGGGGATTGTAGTTATCGACCATGTTTTCATTATGAAAACGTACCCCAACATGAAATCGAGTTAACATGTCTTATATACTAGTGAATCGGAATTGTATTTTTGTAGTGGTAAACACACTACAAACTTAATGGCGAAACGTTGTTTTATATGCGTGAAACATTCTGTAGCCAATATTAATTACTTATTAATTAAAATTAATTAAGTAACTCATATTATGAATGTTTATGATAAATCTGAAATTAAATATATGTCTTGTTCGTTCATATTTAAACCACTGGAGAATGCGCGTGCTTGTTTATTGTTATTTCGAATATATGTTGTATTTTGAATAAATTTGTTTTCTAGATTTGTCACTTTAATTTTAAATTTCTCTCAACTAGAAAAGCGAGAAGGAAAAGAAAATTATGATTTGTTTATTACTGTATGTTTAAATTTCTCAAGCATTCATTTAAAAAATATGTGCTAATTTTTTTATAATTTTCAATCAGTTATAACTCATTTACCTAATATTCCTTTTGAACAACTTAGATGTGATTGTTGTCTTTATGAGCGATTTTTTATTACATGATTATACATTGATAATTGAGCACTTTTATAAAATTTAAAGAACAATTTAGCTTAATAATCTAAAACATTTCATTAGATTAATAAATTCAGGGTGTAAATCAATGACCGCAGTTAATATATAAATTTTATATCTTTGCCCAAAGGTGAAGTCAAAAAGGAGTGTACATTAGATGACTCAAATTAACTATAAAGCGAAGAAGAAAAAAAAATAGAAATCAGTTAAATCACTAGAAATGTTGCCTGACGAAACTTATAACTGCTTTGAATCTTCGATTTTAAACTTCCCTCTGTTTCTTCAGGAAATAACACAGAATTTGATTTATTAGTGCAGGTAGTAATTTAGTAGATTTCGATTGTGTTTATTTTCTTTCCTCGCTTAATTATTCGTTTGTGATCTCTAATACGACTAATCTTTTTTATTTCTTTTTCGTCACACATTTTTATAATAATAAGAGTGGTTATTAGGGTACATCCTGTATCTAAATTTTTCCTCACCTCAAACTGCTTAATACATTGAATTAAAAATGAATGAGAGAAAAATCTCTGTTGGGTTTGGGTAATATTGTGTGCAACAACAATCAAAATTGGTGAAGTTATTTGTATCTTTTTAAAATTATTTATGTTGTATGTTTTGAACACAAAGTATTGTTTATTATATGTATTCTTTTAGCTGCGTTTAAATGTTTATCTTAACTCACATCTTTAATTTCAGTTGCATTTTGATGGAACCAACGCTACTCTTGTAATCACGGAAGCATTTCCAAAAGATGCTGGAACATACACTATTATCGCTCGCAATAAAGCAGGGGAAGCTGTGTCATCATGCAATGTGTCTGTCAAAGGTCGACTACCATTAGAGACGTCGTACGTTTTCTTGAAATCACACTATTATTAATATTTAATTACTCCATTTTGTGCTTAAATTGTATATTTTTATAAAATCGCAGAGACTAGATATTTTCATTATTATTGAAGCAATAAATTTGAAAATATACAGAATCCGTTATCCGGAAATCAGAAAACCGGAAAACCCAAAAACCGGAACGAAATTCGATAAATTCTCCCGCCATTTTTTTTTAAAAAATGTTTTTTTCCTCGTAAGATTTTAGGATTTTTCTTTCTTTTTTGAAAGATGTTCTCTTTACCATCATTTTGCAAATAATCATTAGTGTATTGCTTCATCGTTTTTTCTTCTTTTTGAGATTATTTCCAAATGTTTTTTTTTTTTTTAGTTGGGTTTAACAATATAAAAACGGCTTTTTGTAGCGATTCAGAAAACTGGAAAAGTCAGTTTTCCGGAATAGCGATGGTCCCGATCGTTCCGGATAATTGGTTCCCTACGTACTAATTGGCAAGTGAAAATACAATACGAAAAAAAAATCGGATTATTCTGGATTTAATTATCTTTATGTCCTAAGACTGAATTTCAGTGGTTCGACGGGGAAATCTCAATTATGCTAATTAATTTGTGCAGACGATATTTTAAGTTACGAAATAGGCTAAAAAACGCACTTTCTTCGAATAAACATAATTGTTTTTCGACGGATTTGGATTGCTGACTGCAAAGATATAGGACAGCAAAATAAGCAATCAGAAAAATGTGGTCCCAATAGTTTTGTGAAGAAAGTGGTCCAAAGTTTGAACCCCTGAATGTTACTTTTACTTTTTGCGTACTTCGCCTTACCTCGAGAACTTTTTAAACAAATTCAAAAATTTTTGCACACAATTATATAATTTATTGCAAAAAATAACTTTCATTGAATATGTAATATTAGTTTATTATTATATTTAATTATAGTCGGAAAAATTTGATTAGTAAGGTATATGGTTTTTACATCATTTTAAAGAATTTAATTTAATATAGCAAAATGCAAAACTTGTGAGAAAACGGTTGAATAGTTTCTGAGAAATAGAATTTAAAAATACTACTTTTTTAAGGACAAACTTAAGGATTGTGTGATTTTTAATGATGAGACACACAATTAATATTTGCTTTTGTTCAGCACTGTACAAGAGTGCTACATAATCACTTTCCATAATATATATTTTTAAAACTCTCGTTAAAAATGAAGTAACAATTACACACATAGCAGGGATAGCAAAATAATCTTTTATCGAAGACAAAATAAAAATTTTCTCAATAAACCTTACATATCATTAACGAGAATCGCAAAATTAAAAACATCGAAACGTGTTAGTTTGCTGGAAAATTCGATGCGCAATCAAATTGGTTTTATGTTTTTTAAACCCACCTTCCCCAATAGTAATTCGTCAGATTTTGATATTTTTTTCCCTTATTTAATTACAGAATTTTTCCTACTTAATTTATTCCTTATTTAATGAACTCTGATCTATATACAGTTTTAATTTCTTTAAAAGGATTCTTAAATGTTAAACGCGAGGATAAAAAATCCTTTTTGTATACTGTATGGTTCGCTTAATTTTTTTTACTGCACTGTTTATAACTATATTTATTTAAAATTATAATTTTTGATTATTTTTTTCCTCCTTTGTTTAAAGTGATTCAGAGATTGCATCAGATATTGAACCTGCAAAACCCCAAGTAAAACATCAACTTGTTGACCAAACTGTGTTCGAAGGCAAAAAGGTTCGAATGGATTGCGTAATAGTCGGTCAGCCAGAACCTGAGGTAAGAACAAATTTGATTTTTTTTCTTCAAAATTTTGGTTTATGTTTAATATATATTTTCAAAACTTGTAATTTAGTTACAAGGTTATCTTTTAAATCACTTAAATTTGATATGCAATCCTTACTGTTCTGGAATAACTAAAATGTTCTAATTTTAGCATAATTATGCAGGGTGTTCTGTAATGATCGCTCTTTAATGCGTATTTTTGAAAACTCTATCGGAATCTCACTTATCAGAGCTGAGGAAAGCAAACGTAAAACATAACAAATTTCTTGGTTGCTGTCAAAAACAGAGGGTTTGAAAGACAAAAAGATTATTGGAAACACCTTCAAGTTTCATCAAAGAATCCAATTGGTTTTGAGGTTTTTCACCTCACCTTCCTTCGTAATGATTCGCTATATTTCGATACTGTTTCATTTCACCTCTGGTTTAAATATTTATTTGCATAATTAAAAATAAAGTATTCCTGCAACTGTTCGTTGTGGGTCAGAGGTGTTATGAAGATAAAAAACTCCACAATTTCATGATGCTTGTGGTAATGTGGTTAGCACTGCGCACAAGCCGCCTTTACACTCCAGACAAGCTTTTATCCATCGATCGGAAGTTGGTTGGGGACCCGGTTTCTTCACAATGACAGTTCAGTGTCTTAACAGCTGAGTCATCAATTAAAAGTATTAAATATATATTTTTTAGATTAGTTTTTGACAAGTGTTTTAAGTAAGTGAAGAGGATTTTAGTGGAGTACCTGATGTTTTGAAATCATTATATTTAGCTTATTTGAATCTAAGACAAAACATTTTTTCTGATCCACATCATATTTTGTGTTCAATTGTAATGCTGCATGTGTTTTTAATTTTTATTTTTTTTGAAGAAATTCTGATGAAAACAAATTATTTTTGATAATATCTTAGGTTATTTGGTATCACAATGGAAAACCCGTGAAAGAGTCAGATGATTTTCAGCTTCTTTTCGAAGGTGATCGTTGTACCCTCATAATCGAAACAGCTTATTTGGAAGATGCTGGAACTTACAAATGTGTTGCGATTAATTCCGGTGGGGAAGCCTCTAGTGTTTGTCAACTTACTGTTAAACGTAAGTTTTAATTTGGTCCTAATTGGTATAGGCATTGTTAAAATGTAAAATAATTGAATCAAGTTTTTTATTAATAAAAAATAACAAGCATTTTTAATTAAACTACTGAAAATAAACGGACCACCATAAATAACTGTTGATCTAATGATCGGATCTTCACGTCCTAGGACACAATCTTAATGGTTCAAGGGGGATGACCTCAAATTAGTGAAGACGATAGTTAATTGATGACCTAATTAATTAGTGAAGACGTAATTTTACGTTTAGAAATCAGACATAGAACGTACTTTCTCTGAATAAACATATTTTTTATGATCAGGGGTCTGTCCAGACATTTTGTGAAAGGTCCGTTTTTGTAAAATTGTGAAAAAATTACTCGTAATTTGTGAATATAAAATAAATGTTAAGTCACATTCTTTCAACCAGGGTCCGCTTTTGTGAATTTGTGCAAATAGAGTCCGTTATTGCAAAAAAACTTTTTCAAAGAGTTTTTAAAATGTAAAGACATACAAGATTATGCTCAACACTGTAAAATTATAATTAAAAAAAGTAAATTTTCAAAAATAAACAATAATTGCAGCTACTAAATTAGCGATGCACCACATAAATATTTGGTATTTAGCCTATACTGCTGAACGCAGAATATTTATTTCGGAGGAATAAAGGAAGAAGCGTCTGCGGAAGACAAAATTTAGTTCGTATGTTTTTCTCCCCCCCCCTTCCTTCCTGGGAAGGGTTTATTCGATCAACAAAACAATAATGAAGATAAAAAAAATTGTGAAGGGTCCGATTAAAAGATAAATTATTTTGTGAAGGGTCCGTTTTTAAGTTAAATTATTTTGTGAAGAGTCCGTTTTTATAAAAAGATATTTTTTGAAGGGTCCGTTAACAGACCCAAATTTCTTCTAAACAGACCCCTGATGATGGATTCGAATTTCTTCCCGCTTATAAAATTCTTTTATCCAAAGATGTTTTTCCAATGCTCCCCTGGATTAACATTTTGTCAATTCAGGCATTTATAGGGCATATTTGTTGGCCACTCTTTCAGGGGCACCATATTAGGTTGGTCAACGTTGCTCCCACAGTAAGGACGGATAGTATAGAGAATGAAACAACACCCATTCCATACCGGGTTTCGAACGCAGAACCTTTCTGATGTTTTTGAGAAATCAAATCTTTAATATAGGCGTCTTTAAAATCTATTATTTATAAATAATTTATTTTTTGTTAGGATTTATCTATGGATGAACGAATATTTCTATTTTGTGCAAAAATTTTTAAATTCGCTATTAAAGTTCTTGAGATATGGCGAAATACTCAGAAAGTAAAAGTTACTTTAAGGGATAGAAATTTTGTTCCGCTGTTCTGACCAAAATATTGGGAAAATATTTTCCGTAAAATATAATCCCCATACTTTGGCTGTTAGAAATCCGATTCCGTTAATGAAATTTATATTAATTCTGAACATGCCATAGTTTGCGTTTGATTTCGTAACTTCTATCGTCTGTACAAATTAGTTAGCATAATTGAGGTCGCCCTCTCAAATCATTAAGATTGAGTCCTAGCTCGTGAAGATCCGATCATTAGATCAAAAGTTATTCAGAGTAGTTCGTTTTTTTTTGTGCACTGCATATTGAAATAAACTTTTGAAAAGCTTTAAACTTTCTCTTTGTAAATGAATTGACTGTTTTTCTATAATTTATGTGTTTCAAATATTTCGAATAATTAATTGTTAACTAAATGGGATTGATTGTTAATTACGTATTTCAAAATTTATTTCAGTATAATCTAGCATTTTAAAAATCAAGGCAAAAATGTTTTTTTTGCTTTTTTTTGTTGATAATTTTTGTAAATATAAGTATTTCTCTATTTTCAGCTGTTGATGTTATACATAAAAGGTAAGTTATTACTTTTTTGTTATTAAAAATTTTATAAGGCGGTTAACATAGTTCTGATTTGTTTTTAGCAAGAAAATTAAAACTGTTATTCTAGTCATAAATTTTTAAAATCAAACTCAAAATGAATTTTTTGACAAAAATCGCGTATTTTCGTATTACTTTTTTAGTATTTAACTTTTTCTGGCGTACACATACTCAAAAAAAGTTTTCCTAAAATTTTTTTTTGCAATAACAGACTGAATTGTAAAAATTAAAATATTTGGGTTTTAAATTTCTGAACTTTTTCTTCCATCTCAATATTGTTTTAAACGTTAAAACAAAACTTATAGACCGATTTAAAATTTGTTAAACCCTATAATAAAGAAAACGAGTCGAAGCGATAGTTATTAACTATTAATTTAAAAAATGTGACTCATTGATTGAAAAAAGTCAAATTTGACTTGTTATGATCTTGATATTTCAAACAATCTGAATGTTTTAAAATATTGGTTTAAAATTAAAGACATTTAAATTTCGCAAATAACTTACTAAAACTCTCCACCAACTTAGAATTTTTTCAACATTCACGGTCTCTTTAGTATAAACAATTTCCTTATTGACTTACTGAATTTTACTACCAATTAAAATTTTATCAATGCACCCGGTCTCTTAAGTGTGAAATTTCGTATAACTTACTGATACTCACTACCACTTAGAACTTTTCCTACATACATGGTTTCATAACTATGAAATTCCTTAAAACTTACTGAAGTTTACCTCCAATTCGAATTTTGTCATCACACGTGGTCTTTTAGATTGAAACGTTTAATTTTTTGAATCTCACCTCTCAGTTAATTAGTATTTTGTCAACACACACGGCCTCTTCAGTATGCATTTCCTCTGAACCTCATCTCCAATTCAAATTTTATCATGACATGTGGTCTCTTTAGTATGAAATTTCGTATAACTGAACTTCTCGTCCCGCAGTGGACTGATCGTAAAGACACGGTTCCCAGTAGAACACCAAAGTCAAGCATCACTGACTGCGGTCAGTAAGCGGGTGGTTGACCACTTTGATCAGCCTACGTAGAGACCGAAGATGTACGGTATTGGTCCTCATTAGACTGTTCTACAGTAAAATGCTCGACCTCGCGCTCAGGTGATCGGGCTACCAAAGCAGGGGAGCCATCCCCTCTGCAGAGGATCAAAATTGCGATGGCATGTCTTTGGAAGATCTTCAGGGATGTTTCCCGGACCCAATAGCCCGTTGTGGAGCACTAGTGTGGCGTGAATAAAATACCTACCTACCTACTGAACTTTTCTGTCAGTTAGAGTTTAGTCGCCATAAACGACACGGTCTCCTTGAAATGAAATTCCGTATAACTTACTGAACTTAATCTCTATCTCATATTTAATAGTAGTTTATACATTTCTTTTTTTCAATTCTAGCCAATTCGAACAAAAAGACATCTTGCTTACCGTGGAGAAATATGACCCTCCGAAATTTCTAAAACTGTTGGACAATGTATCTGTTGTTGAAGGCGATGGTATATTATTGGAGTGCCAAGTTGCTGGAGAAAGTGGAACCACTGTCGGATGGTTCAAAGATGGAACTAAAATTCAAAGCACTTACGAACGTCAGGTAAATAGAAATGTTTTCTTTGCAATATATTTGCATGGTGATAGGTTTATATATCTTTATATATCGGTTTAAAATAATAAAATAAATTTTTTTATCCTAAATATTTTTATTGGAAACTGAAAGGATAATTGCTTTGAAGATTTGTGAAAAACATATTGTCTTTGAAATTGTTTTTTTCTCCTTTCAAATAGTTTTACTGGCCGTTGTATTGTATGTTATCTTAGAACAACTTAATATTTACTTTAAATTCTGAACCCAAATTTTTTTTTAAATGTTTAAATTTTTCTTAAGGACATTGTCAAACATGCATTTATTTTTAATAACATTTGTCTAAATAATCACCGTGAATACATAAATTATCTCTTCTAGTAGGTAGATCATGGGTTAAAATCGTATTGCCAGTCGTCAGTTTTATTCAAAATGGAATCAACTAAATCCAGAACTCAACTCAGAAGTACTCTTCCTTAATCTAGTAGGGTTAAAATTATACGAGTATGGTGATTATGTCGTTGCTTTAAATTAACTATTTAGGCAGTTTGTTTATTAAAAACAAATGAATAAATTAAAATAAGACGTTAGAAGGAAAATTTCCTTTAACTACATAATAAGATATTGATTATTGTTAAAAGATAAAACATGCTATGCAGGGTGCTATTTCATCACCACCCTTAATGCATAATTTTTAAATTTATAGTCAAATTACGCATTAGTGGTCGCGGATTAATATTTAATTGAGTATAAAACAAGAACTCTCTTAAAATCTAATTAATCACACTTGATAAAAGTGAGATTAAAAACACAAAACCCGTGAGACTGCTAGAAGGAAATTTGAATAGAGATGTTTTTGGTAATTACCTTTCAACTCCTCTCGATTTTCAACAATCTCATTCAAACAGATTTTGATGTTTTTTAATCATGTTTTACTTAATGTTCATTCGTCAGATTTTAAGTCTTTTTTTAAAATCATTTTCTGTTCGTAAGTGTCTATTTGTAACCTCTAATGTTTAGAAACTTTGGTTTATTTTTTGAGAAAGTTTTAAAATTGATATATGTAATACCTGAAGTAATAGCTAAATGGAATTAGAGACATGAAAGCGAAACCTAAATGGAATACATTTTTTAATGATCTCTTTCGCATAGTTAAAGGATTATGCAAGTATTAATCATCTTTTATTTGTTAGAAATGTAATCTTTATTTATAAAATGAATCCTTACTGTGCTGGAAAATAAAACTTTTTGAAATTGGAATGCCACAGATTTTAATAAATATTTTCAAATTTTAATAACATATTCATCCGGTATTATGGTTGTCTGCGTAGTTGAATTTGAACAAAGAAACATCTGGAAAATATAGATCACATGACGTGAAAGAAAGAAAGTTCATATCGTATATAAAAAAAAGCGCGCACTCGCATTATGAGAGTGAAAATGAAAAGATATCTTGTTGGAATTTCAGCTCCCTATAAACTAACTGTAAATAGTTAAATTTCTTAAATTTTTATCGACAATAAAATTGGATGAGTAAATAAATTAGACTTTTTTACATTCTACAGAAATATAATTAAAATTAACTGAAACGAACACCCCGAAAAATGGATTAAGATGAACTAACTTCCTAAATAAAGAAAAATAAAGAAAATCTCAGTATGAGTCTAGATTAAACGAAAACACTATACAGAAAGTTTTGATTTCCGATATCTATTAAAATTAACAAAATCGATAAACCCCTAAAAATGAATTAGGGTCGACTAACCTCCTAAATAAATAAAAATAAATAAAATCTCAGTATGAGTCTAGATTGAACCAAAACAATATACAGAAAGTTTTGATTTCCGATATCTATTAAAATTAACTGAAACGAACACCCCGAAAAACGGATTAAGATGAACTAACTTCCTAAATAAAGAAAAATAGATAAAATCTCAGTATGAGTCTAGATTAAACGAAAACAATATAAAGAAAGTTTTGATTTCCGATATCTATTAAAATTAACTGAAACGATAAACCCCCAAAAATGAATTAGAGTCGACTAACCAGAAAAATAGATAAAATCTCGCTATGACTCTAGGTTACGCGAAATCAATATACTAAAGGTAATGCTTTCCGTACTCCCTGATAATGTAAATAAATGTAATTATAAACTTGCTTTTAATCGCATAAATTGCAAATGTAATATATACAATACACAAATTGTAATACATTGCTTTTTCTTCCTCAAAAGATTGTTGCTGAAGATTCTAGCATTCACAGATTGACCATACCTACCTCCAAAGTTTCAGATCGCGGAACATATTCTGTGAAGGCGCAGAATAAAGTGGGCGATGCCCAGAGCATATGTTCTGTATCAGTGTCGCCTTCTGGACCTGTGGTATTCGGACAAACACCTCAAGAAGTCCCCCCTACCTTTCTACAACACATTGAAAACCGAGTTTTGCCTCTTGGTGGAACAGTGCGCTTCGAAACAGTTGTTGATGGCAGTCCAAAACCTACAGTAAGTTTTTGAAGTCAAAATGATTTTTTATATAGTGATTCTCGTAAAGTGTTACTCATCAATTAACCCTTTTACGCTGATGGGACACCGGTGTCTCTTTTATATGTTTTTTTTTTGACGTTCTAATTGCTAGAGTGAAAACATGTTTTGGAATTTTTTAATTATGTAAAATAGTCAAATAGTTACTAAAAAGATCTGTTGAATTATCGAAATTATATTTATACTAAAATACACTGGTGGACAAAATTAAGAGATGGAAAGCATTTTCGCACGTTCATTCGCACATGCAAGATACCCGCACACCGCTCCATGTGTTTCACAATGGTTCCCTGAATGCCCAGAGTTGCAGGCAGGAGGTCCTAGAGCCCTATGTGCGTCTTTTCAGGGACGCTGTTGTCCCTGAGTTAATTTTTATGGGCGACAATGCGCGACCACATAAGGCTCTCATGGTTGATGAGTATCTGGAAAGCGAGGATATTCAACGAATGAATTGGCCAGCCAAATCTTCTGACCTGAATCCTTTTGAACATGCTTGGGATGCTCTTGGGAGATCTATTGAGATGCGTCAACCTCCCAGAACCATTCTGGATTTAAAAATTGCTCTGGTGGAAGAATGGGAGGGTCTTCCACAAGTCTCCTTAATTCCCTTATTAACAGCATGCATACTCGTTGTGCATGCTGTCTGTCTGTCAGGGGTGACCATACACCATACTAGAGGCAACACACACTGTACAAGCCTTACTTTTATTGTCCTCCTTTATCCTTAAGTTCAGGCTACATTGGATTTATTGGCAATAGGCCTTGCCAGTGAATGGCACTTTCATTTCTCTTTTGCATACTTTATTATCATGGAATAAGCTATATCCATACCAAATTTCATTTATTTATATTCAGTATTTTTTGAGATATTTGGGAAAATGTCTTTCATCTCTTAATTTTGTCCACCAGTGTATAATATCCAAAAAAAGTAGCTATTTTTTTCCCATTTGTATTCAAGAATTTTTAATAATTGATTTTGTAAATTAAGGAAATTTCAATGAGGAATAACTGTTTCTCTTAGATATCAATAACTGTAAAAATGTAAAAATTATTCGGAAATGGACCATGTTTGGAATATTTTACCTTTAACGCACAAAATGACAATGGTGTTCCATGCTATATTTCATAACCATAAATTATTAAAATACTAAATCGAATATCTTTCACTCATTTTGACCAAAATTAATAGGAAATAATGAAAAATATGTTTAATGAAAATTATACGTCAAAGGGATAAACAAATTTGCACTTATGTGTTTTATGTTAAGATCATTAAATTTATGATGGATATTTTTTATATTGGTTTCAATTACAACAAAAAATATTTCTATGCTTCATTCAATGTCTTTGAATTATCAATTTTTTGTTAACCTGGCGTTAAATCACATATGTCTTAATTGCGCTCCGACTACTGCAAGCAGATATCAATTGCCCTATTATTAAATAGAAATCTTAAAAAGAAATTTCGGCTAATTTTCGACCTGCTAAAATAATGAAATTTTAGCTGGAATTTTGCATTTGTTGACAATTTAAGTTTTAATGCTTTACTTGCGTCATGCTATCGACATTTATCGTCAATCCAAATTCCGATCACTATTTCGACTGGAGCTAAATGGACTAAGTATAGGTTGCAATTGTTTTCTAAATATTGCAAGTAGAATTTTTCACCAATTATAATTTTGACAACAGACAGAAAACTAAAAATAAAATAAACATAAAAATCAAAGTAGACTTGATAAACAATAAAACGGCGCATAACTACTACTAAAAATGAAAATCCCCGCAAAATTTTTCGAATTTGTTGCATCCAGCGTTTTTGATCTGTCAAAATCAGAATTATTTTCTCCTTTTTAATCCACTTTAAATCTATGGTTTTAACGATTAAAATTTTTTTTTCAAATGAACTTAATGGCCTTTATAATGTGGTGTCTCTTTTGATATTGCAAATTATTTTTAAACAAACGATGTGTTGTTTTATTAAAATAAATGTTTCACTGTCTAAAGAAAAAATTAAAAGAAATTAATTTTATTGAAAATTCACATGCTTGCAAGAATTCTGCGTCTTTTTAGTCGCGTATGTGTAAGATATGTTTTTTCTGATCTTTGTGCTGAGCTACATTTTATTTTATAAGTAATAAGCAAATCCATGACTGTCAATTTTCTTTTTATATAAAAACAATACTTATTTCCTTAATAAGTATAAAACTTTATTAAATAAAATAATTTGAAAATTTTTTAGAAAGGAAAATAAATATTTATATACAAAAATTATTAATTACGCGATATTATCAAAGGCATAAAATACGTTTTGTATTGAAAAGAGCAATATTACATAAATTCTGCCAACTGCATTTAAACATTCGACTTCATACAATCTTAATGCCTGATGACATATTTTCTATTTTTCTAGGTGAGATGGAACTTCAAGGGCAAACCAGTACCAAAAGACGCACACCATGAAACTGGAACTGATGATGATAAAAAATATTGGTTAATTATAAAAGATATTCAGAATAACAATATTGGAAGATACTCAGCTATAGCTGAAAATAATTCTGGCATTGCAACTACATCTGCATTACTACAACTCGAAGGTACATTCTTTTGACAAAATGTTTGTTAATAGATATTAAGGTCATAATGTTCTTTAAGGGTTTTTCACTTCGATTTTCTTAGAAGAAACTGATGTATTCCATTTTCTTTAAAACGTTTTGTAAATTAAATATTTTTATTTGTTGTTTTATTGCTCATTTTGTTGACTTTGTATCTTAATTCATTCATATCAATGACGATTCTCTAGCATATGATCTCAGTTTTGCTCCATTTCTGCCATGCTCGTAATAATATATTCGATCCTAATTTGTCTCTTTCGTTCACCATCATTCTCTTGGCTACCGTGGTTTCTTTTGTTACATTCTCATAAATTTTTCCCTTTTTTTTTTTTTTTTTTAANTTTTTTTTGTTCCCGATTGTGCCTTTTTTTTCTGTCTTGTTTTATGACAAGTTTTCACTTATATTATCAATCTGGCGAGGAGTGTTGTGTTTAGGGTATTCGAAACTTATCGAACTTTTTTTCATTCGACTACTAAGCAAAAAAGTTTTTTTTCCCTTCAATTTTCAAAATTTTTTTTCTTCATAAATTTTTTGCTTTAGTTTCCTTGGGATTCTTTTCTTAAACATACTACTATTATAAACCAAGAGATTACTTGTTTGGACATTTATTCCAATTTGACCATTTTTTTAAAAAAATTATCACTGTCAAAATCATACTATTTGTAAAGTCTATTTCTGATAATTATTTAAAAAAATAATATTTTTTTGTCTAAAACTATGACTTAATATTGATTCTTTATAAATTAATGTATATAACTAAAATATCTTAGATTATAAGAATATTTACTCTTGCTCCTGGCACAGATTTCTATAACAATTTCTTTAAAATTAAAGTCTGTACAATTATTCTATGTTAAAGCCTTTTAAACTGATAATTTTCATTGCACTCTTTTCTGTCTAGATTACCTTGTTAGTGAACCAGTTGTTACATGCGAAGAACAAAGGTAATAATTTTTTTTTCCAATTTTGATAAGCATTATACTTTTATTTAATGTTTCATTTGCCATTTTATCATTATGCATGATATAATAATATTAACCTTGAATGCATACAAAAAGAATGGTTTCAGTTTTTATAAATAAAATTGGTATTAATTTAAACTATATTTCATTGTTGTTTGCTTTAGGGCCCATTCTATGGTTATGAGTAAAAAGAAAACTATCATGCAAACTAGTACTATTAGCTCTATGTCTGAGGTAATTTTATGCTTTTTTTATTATCAAGTTTTAATATTTACTATTTTGTACTAATTTGCACTGAAGTTCTAATAAAATTAAGGATGGTGTAGCTTAATATCGTAATATGTAAAGCTTTTTTTGTGTACTATTGTCTGTAATCGTATATTAAAGAACTTCTGTATAGTACCGAAACCATCTCTGTGCTTCGTATACTAATGAGTTCTGTTACGTATCCAAATACTTGGCATGGAAAAGGCAAATAACTGTATAGTATAAAGGCTAAACTGTATAGTACCTAAACGAATTGTACTTCATATACTAATGTGTTCTGTTAAGTATTTAAATATTTAACTTGACATGGAAAATGTTATAACTGTAAGGAACCGCAAAGGCAAATAACTGTATAGTATAATGGCAAAACTGTATAGTACCAAAATGATTGCTGTACTTCGTATATAAATGTGTTCTGTTAAGTATCCGAGTACTATATGATCCTCTATAAGATACTTTTATATAATACCGAAACGATCGTCAGGTTTATGAACCTATTAATTTGTGTTCGTTGCGTTGTTATTAATTTTATTAAGCATAATTTTTTATTTGATCAAATAATAATGAGTTATAAATCTTTTAAAAGAATTGTTTTTGCTTGTAGTTGAGTGATGCTGATTATCAGTTACCTGAGTTTCCATCTTTCTCATCGTTGCAAAGTCAGCACTTGATTAGCATGGAGCAATCCACTGTAGTGAAGAAACCGCAGCCCGCCCCTCAACCTCAACCTTCACAGACAGTGGCGAAAACCTTTGAAGAAAAGAAACCTTTAGCCATTTCAGATAATTTTATTCAGTCTACTGTGCAAGTCCAACCTAACTATGTTCCACCGAAATTCACAAAACCTGTTTCAGCTGGAATCGTTACTGCTGGTGAAAAATTGCTTTTAGAGGCATTTTATGAAGGTATAACAACGAATAAATTTTTAATTTCTAAACAGATAATTTTTTTAAAAAAAATTCTGATACGTATAGGACATGTTTAAGGTTATTCCTCAAAGAGAAAAGAAAAGAATTTTTTTTCTTGCTATTGTCTAAAATAAAGAGTACCTGCTAACTTTCATTCTTTTGTGGAGGAAGAATTTCCCTAGTGGCAGTGAGAGACCAAGTGAAATGCAATTGTGGATAAATTTAACATATGACGTTTACACTCATGGTTTACACTCATTTTCATTTCTATAACTTGTTCTCATATATCATGATTTATTTGCATTTAGTGATAGTCAAAATCCATTAAATCAAATTTATGAAGAAATTTATATAAATCCAAGAAATTAATTTATTTACAAATCCAAGAAATTAATTTATTTACAAATCCAAGAAATTTATTTATTAAAAAGAAATTTATACGATTTGTTACCATTTTAAATACATAAATGAAATACTACAGTCAACCCGTAGAGTAAATGAAACATGTCAGATTTTATACATTACGCTTGACTATCTTTGGTATAGTTAACCTTGGTAACTAACAGTTTTGGGTGTTATCCGAATTTTGATGCCGCTATACATTGTCAATCGATATTTCAATTTATATCGTAGTATTTCTTCAATAGGATTGTTCAAAACGAATTCCGGTTTATTTTTATTAATTAATTTTTTTAGGAAAATTAAAGACGATTCTATTATAATGAATAAATATTTTATTAAATATTAGATTGTTTATTCTGGTCCAATACCTTTTGTCCTCATTCTGGCAGTCCCATGATTTTCCGCGCATAAAATTTGCATTCTTTGCTGACAAAAAACTGATCCAGGCGATTTTTGGCATCCTTATTTGAAGTAATCCTTATTTGAAGCAAACACCCATTTCTCGTCCCCAGTGATGATGGGTGTCAAAAATGGATGCTTTTCTTAAGGTTTGAGAAGCAAATCATCGACGTCAACGCGACGGCAGAAATTTCTTTCCATAAGAACATGAGGAACTCTATCGAGTTTTGAGATTGCATCTGTAGACTTTTCAAATGATTATGAACGGTCATTTAGTGATCAGACGAGTCTCTCAGAGATTTCACGAGTTGTTATTAATCAATTTGCATCAATTAATGTCTTTATTATGTCTTCATAAATTTAACTAACTAAGGTGCGTCTTCGTGCATTTTAATCGAAATAATGCCAACAGGTTTTGGCAGTGGTATACCGCTAATGCATTTTCTCTAAACTATGGATGTCTAAGTGTCATCTTCGCTTTTCTTTGTTTAACGGTTGATGAATAGTCCGTCTTGCACCCGGTACAAAAACAGAACTTTCCTATAATTACTCGTTACAATTATTAAAAAAAATCACAAACAAATGAAAATATAAGGGTTTAAAAACAGTTTATTAATTCAAAAATCCCGCACGCGTTTGATGCTGGCGAATGAAAAAATTAGCTGGTCTACTATTTGTGCAGCCACCCAGCGGCGGTTATGCAAACACTATCCAGTAAATCTTGACGAATTACATTGCGAGGAAAATTATACATTGAGCTGAGCTTCCCTCTAATACTCTAGTCTCCATGCTTCAAACAAGTCGGATAATTTTTTTCTTGCTTGAACAACATTTTTCCTTTTTCGATTGTAAAAAAAAGTATAAGCAGAATTAATAGAACTTTTTCACTAGTAAGCGTTGCTTTATCAGTTTTCAAAATATGTAATGATTATGCTGCTTAAAGGAAAAGTTGACTTGGAAACAATATAGTTAAGTCTCCTGAAGATAAAAAACCAAATTACTTTCCGAATAACCCAATATTATATCAATTTACATTATTTTTACTTTCGGCAATATTTTTGTTAAGCAAATAAAGAAAATTACTTTCGAAATTTTTTTTATTAATCATAACTTTGAAAAAACAATGGGAAATCATTAAAATATAACAATAAATTTACCAAGTTAGTAAGTGTCAATAACTCCGAGAGTAACGTGGTCAATCATTATCGCGCTTATTCAATAACTATTGTAAGCGGTAGTAATCAAGATATTATCGATTGTAGTCATAATATCATAGTTGTTGATAGTTATATTATACTGGATATTAATTAGATAGGTCGCTCATAATATGTCAGCCGAAGATACTTTAAAATATTGTTATCACGATATTTAAAAATAATCAATGTTTCATGATATTTTATTGTTTTGCCTTTAAATTCTACATACAGATGGTGGTTCTTCGAGTTTCTTTTTACTCATACGCTTTTCGAGACTAAGTACAAACCTACCTTTAGGTGGGTAATGCGAAAAAGGATTGAATATATTAAAAAAGAAATTATTTTTTTTTGCGCTAGAGTTAAAGGCTAAATATGAGAAATTCTTGAATTCTTTGACCTCAAAAGCTGAACTTAGAGGGTAAATTGTAAATTTTTTTCCATAATTTTAATATTTCAACTTAAACAAATCAGAGATTCATAGTATCACGAGAATTGAATGAGTTATTTATTTAACTGTTGTTCGACAGCCGACCCAATTTTTGCGGTTACGACTACCGATCTTCAACTCCATTTGATTTTGAACCCTATCCAGAAGACAAAAGAACTCCTGGATCAAGTGTTGGGAGAGATTTTCCTTCGCAGAGTAACTTCTTGATGAAACTTACCCAAATTCGCTTTACATGGAAGGGAAATTCTTGAAAACATCTCACGGTTAGCCGGACGCAAAGGGACTCTAACCTCTGATCCGTCAAACACTGTGGATTTTTACGTCAGCACTGTGGTTGCGGCTAGCCGAGTGCGGAATTTGACTCGACCAGCCATCACTGGGATTCGAAGCCAGCTCCCCACATTGGAAGACAATTGCTCTGTCCCCTGAGTTACCACGGCTCTGAATGAGTTTATATATATATATATATATATATCAATTACTGTTCTTAAAACAATTTCAATTCCAAAAATACTTTAATTTACTTTTACTAGAAATAAAGGGCCCGTTAAAGGGTTAATGGAACACGCATTAATATTGCTTTTATCGTTTAAATAAATTTTAATTTTCGACAAAATTAGTGTCTTATTTTTGCTTCATTTGTCCATTTCCTATACATAAAAAATTGTGCATAAAATAGACGTACAATATGTAAAAATTATCTATGAGAGGGTGAATGTTTCCATGTTTAATACGCACNATATATATCGTTAAATAGCCGATCCGATTTTGGGTTTACGACTACTAATGTTCAATTCGGTAGCCTTGTAATTTTAAATCAATCCAGAAGACAAGGAAACTCCTAGATCAGTACCCCCAGAGGTATTAATTTGTTATGGGAACATAGAGGATTCTTTGGGACTCGACAGATTTAACGTGCATCAGTCACCATTTACTACACGGGGAGTTTTCGGCTGGCCTGGGATGAACGAACCCACGAACTCTTGGACATGGACTGAGTGACCTACAGACCAGGCTATCCCGGCCCTGAATGAGTTGTTTATAACTTTTTTCCCTTCATGCAACGTATTATGTAAACGAAAACTAACTAAATTGTAATTGCTAATTTAATGCAACAATATCTTTCGCTCTAAGCGTGATTATTTTAATGTATTTGAGTGTGTGATTGTTGAAAAGTAAATTTTTTCGTAGAGCTTGTGTTTGTAGTAAAGTTTATTTATTTGATAGAGTATGCGATTATTAGAAGGTCATTTTATTTGTTAAATTGTGTGATTGATAGCATGTTAAATTATTTTCGTTGGGTGTGTAGTTATTGAAATGTTAATTTATTTATTATAGTGTGATTGTTAGCAGGTTAAATTATTTTTAATAATCTTAATCATATAAAAGTATGAAACTAAGCCTTCTAAGTTTTATTTCTGTACACTCACAAGCAAAAATGTTTGAGAGGTATCAACATTTTTAAAATGGATTGTTACAAGAAAATTTTTATAATTTGTTTCGTATTTGCCCTTAGGGGAACCTGAACCAACTATTCAATGGCTAAAGGATGATATAGAGTTGAAAAGTTCAACTAACTTACAGATTACAAGTGGTAAAAATAGAACGTCGGTGTTCATATTGAAAAGTTCAGAATCTGATAGTGGTAGATATTCTTGTATAGCATCCAATACCAGTGGAAAAGCCACTAGCATAGCGGATGTCAAAGTAAAACGTAAGTAACCCAATTGGAAGAACACCATTTATAACTTCTCACTCCAAAGTCAGGAATTTCAAATCACAATGCTTTCGGTTGGATAAATTTTAATCTTTCATCAATCATTTAATCTTTATCATTTTAACATTTTATAAGTTTTTCTAGCACACGATAATAATATATTTGATAGTATTTTTTCATCTATTATTGTCATTTAAGGCAACCAACTGGTATCGACGCATTTTTTTTAAAAAGATCAATTTCAATTTGAAGTAGGGGTTCTAAAATTGTAAATTGAAATTGAAGTTTAAAATTTATAAAACAATTTTCCAAACGAATTTGATTTGATCTTAAAAATGACACATTTTTCGTACCACGAGTCACACATTTTTGCTCTACAACAAATTGTGCAAAAATTTTAACATTTTTTTTTCAATATCAATAATATGATAACCCGTGTTTCGAACATGAATCTTAAAAAAACTTTTTTAAAAAAAGCCACCCCAATGAAATGGGACTAATTTTTAAAGAAATGTTTTTAAATATACTTACTTAAAACTGGATAAAAATAATAAATTCACACTTAGACGTTTGCTTTAGTTTCAAAACACTGCCAACATTATACTAAGTCTACTGAAAAAATTTCAAAGAATTGTAATGGATATTAGCGCAAAGAAATTTTCTCAAAAACAACGTTTCTTCGTAAATGCATTTAAAATGCAAAAACATACTGAAATGTGAGAAAATTCTGATAGCAGAAAAAGAAATTTAAAAAAAAATTTAAAAAAATAAATTTTATATAGTTTCGATTTTGATTTCATTTTTGGGAGTTAACTTCGCTTACGGTTCCGTCTGTCAGCATACGAAAAAACAACGGTAATTTTATTTCTATAAGTTGGAGATAAAAATTTTAAAAGATTTATTCCTTGTTCAAAATTAGTTAACACCTTCTATACTCAGTATAAAAATAGAACCATCTAAGAAAAAAGAATTTTTTTTTTAAAACTGAAATTTGTTTCGGATCTAATTTTTACAGTTTGGAGAGTTACTACAACCAATTGTCTTTGTTTAGGCCCATGAAAATATTCGTATGTTATAAAATATTATTAGGTTAGTTATTTCCCTGTCCATCTTTGGTTAGCACCTTCTATACTTAATATAAAAATGGCGCTATCTCAAAATTTCATCATACCAAAAAGGTTTTCATCATAATTAAAAAAAGTTTTTTGGAACTGAATTTCGTTTTTGATGTTTTATTTATTGTTTGAAAAGTTTTTAAAGAATGAATTTTTTTTAAAAAAAATTATTAATTAAAAAAAATTATTTGTCATTTTAATTATTTGTCAGTTTTCTTAGAAAGTTCTTTTTTTCAGATATATATTATATATAATTAATATTAAAGCTTTGCATCGTGCTTAAAGCATTCAAACAAAAAGAGCAACAATGGCTTCGATAATTACATTTAAGGCATAAAATTATTCTTCCCTGAATAATATTTAAACATTATTTCAAAACGATTAATACTACAAATTACTAATGCACACCCGCATTTCGCTTCAGAGAAGTTTCTTTGAGAGAAAATAAGTTCTCTTCTCGAAATAATAATAATGATACTAATAAACACTCATCAATAATAGTTTTGTAATTAATTTTTCATTTAAATTACAGCTTTAAGAGAAGCACCAAGGTTCAAAAAGAAATTCGATGCTGCTGTCGTAAGATCCGGAAGTAAAATAACTCTGGAAGTAGAGGTAACAGGAATACCAGTTCCTGAAGTGAGGTGGTTTAGAAATGGCACACCTTTGAAGGACTCTCCGGACTTTCGAATTTCTTCCACTGGCAATAGACACATTTTGCTGATAAGTGAAGTAAGCTTTATTGTTTGGTTCTTAATTTTTTTCTTATCCCTTTTTCACTTGAAGATCAAAGAGGAAGTTTATGTCAATTTTTTCTGGATCGCCATTCTTTACATTTTAAGGATTTATTTTTCTTTATAACCGTTGTTGATGCACAACAGACCCAATTTAAGGTTTACGACTAGTGTTCAGTTTCGGAACCTTGTAATCTTGAACCCAATCCCGAAGATAAGGGGACTCCTGGATCAAGTATTAAGATAAATTTGCCTCCGTGGAGGGCGTTTTGATGGAACTAACCCGCATGGAGAGGAAATACCACGAAAACCTGGTGAGCCTGATGGCAAGGGGACTCTAACCTAGTATCCGTCTACCACTGTGGATATTTTGCGTCAGTACTGTGGTCGGTGCAAGCCGGTTGCGGAATTCGTATCGACCAGCCGTCGCTGGGAATCGAACCCGGTTCACCTCATTGGGAGGCAAACGCTCTCTCCCCTGAGCTACCAACCTTCATTTTAAGGATTGCCAAGTATTGAAAATTACTTAGAGTTTCGGCCACCCCCTCAGACTAGTTTAAAGATGCGCCGTGGTAAAAAAAAGGTAAAAAGGAAAAAGTATGAAGGAAAAAGCTGTTTCTTGCCCATTTGTAAAATTAGCATTTTTTTTTCTTTCTCAGGTTCAGTTTTCCTAGACATAACCATTCTTTCTCCTTGATCTTCATTTGTCATTTCATTTTCCAATTATAATAGCATTTTCTGTTTTTCTCTTTTTCCAATGCTGTATTATCTATCATTAATAGTTTTTCATTTTCAATATTTATTTAATTTGCTACAATTATTTTATTTTTCATTGTTGTTTTCCAATTATTGTCTCCATAAAAATCGTTTTTTTTATTTAATTATTTTTTATATTATTGTTATCTCTTTTTTATTTGGTATCTTAATTTTCTATTGCCATCTTTTTTTTTTTCAATTGATATTTTAGTTTTCTATTTCTTATCCTTTTTAATAGTTATTTTACTTGCTACTGTTATTATTTTTTTTAATTCTTATATTTTCCACTGTTATCTCTTTTAAGTTTTTCTTGCAACCAGCTTTCATAGACATAAAGCATTCTAGCTCCTTGATATTTAATTGTTATTTAATTTTCTTTTGTTATCTCAATTTCCAATTATACTTGCATTTTCTGTTTTTTTTCCTAATATTATTTTATTTTGCATTATTAGTATAACTTTTTCAATATTTAATTTATTTGCTACAATTACTTCATTTATCATTGTTGTTCTTTAAATTGTTAACTCCATTTCATTTTTTTTCTATTCTGTTGTTATCTTTTTGTTATTTTAACTTCCTAATGCAATCTTTTTTTCAATTGTTATTTTATTTTTCTATTATTATACTCTTTTCGCTCATTAGTTATTTCACTTGCTACTGTTATTTCATTTTTAATTGTTATTTGTTTCATTGTCATCTTCATTTAATTTTTTCTTTAAATTTTATATTGTTATCACTTTTCCAGCTCTTATTTTATTATTCATTATTATGTCCTTTTCAATTGATATCTTTTACTAAATTTATTTTAATAACACAATTATATATTGCATTCTTTTTTTATTTCCATAAATTTTACTACTTTTTTAGCTGGATCAATTCATGTGTAACTTGATCATTTTTAAAACTTTAAAGGAAGTTTTTTTTTTTTTTTTTTTTTTTTTTTTTTTTTTTTTTTTTAAAAGGAGGAAAACGGCTTGAAAAGTTAATCAGTTACTGGAAGGATTTTAAATTTAATTAATGCTTACTCTAGTCTCGTTTTACAGTGTGTAATTTTTATTTATTTTAATTGTCTGAATTTTAAATCGACTTTCCTTTTGTACAATTTATACTATCTGCGACATTTAATATTTAAATGCCATGAGCAATGCCTCTTGTGAAAATTCATGTTCAAAGTCTACCCTTTTTCTTTTCTTTCGTTCTTTCTTTTTTTTCTGAAATAAGCCTATCTCTTCAATTTGGATTATATAAACGCAGGATGTAAAAATAACATTTGTAACTGTTTGATCTAATTTTGTTGTAGTTTTTCTATAATTTTTTAACTCTAATTTTAATCTAATAACTTGAATCTGTAGAAAAGAAGTAAAATATGAGCTAGAACAGAAAAGAAAACTCGAAGAATAATTTGATATGTTTGCTACAATTATATCATTTTTCATTGTTGTTTTTTCCATTGTTGTTCCCATTTAATTTTTACCAACAAATGGGTCTTGGTTTGGATTTGATGGTGTGCAGTGCACATACTTTTCAGCTGTGTTCAAGAGTAATAGTAAACAGTGCGCATGCGCCGTCATTGCATGCGTTGCTAGGGTGACCGCTGCTATTTTTTACTTTCACTAGCAGGCATTTTTTATTCTATTTTTATCTCCTTTTCAACTATTGTTTTAATTTCAACTATTGTTCACTAGCTGGCATTTTTTATTCTATTTTTATCTCCTTTTCAACTATTGTTTTAAATTTCTAATCTCTTTTTAATTGTTATATTATTTTTCTATTATTATACTATTTTTAATAGTTATTTCACTTGCTACTGTTACTTCATTTTCAATTGTTATTTAATTGAAGACATGGCTTTCTGAAAAAAATATTAAGGGTGTTCCGTAATTACCATCTTAAATAAAAATGTTTAGAATCACTATCAAAACTGAGGTCAAAATCATATGTAATTAAAAATAGAACCTTAATATTAAAGTGAAGTGAAAGAAAAACTCATTCCAAAATCTGAGAAATCTCAATTGAAGAAAGAGAGATAAAAAACTTCGAAATTTATTTTATAGTCCGAAGAAGTTTGAAGGTGTTCTGATATTTGCCTTTCACCTTCCATTTGTTTTTCCCAACTATCAGAGATATTTTGATGCTTCCTGAATAGTAATGCATAAGATATTGACAAGAATTTTGTTTTTCCTTTCTTTGATATTAATTTTCAATTTATTATTTCTAATTTACAACTTCCATTATCTCTAAATTTTTATTTCCATTAAAATTATATGCTTTAGTTCGGGAACTGGATGTTCTAGAACTTACTTATGGTCTCTAGAACAGCGGTTCCCAAATGATGTTAAGCAGAACTCTACGGTTCTGTGAAAGAGTTAAGAAGTTCCTCGAGTTGTTACTTTTTTTTTATAACCAGTGATCAGTTTTGAAAACTCTGATTATATTTAAATCCTATCTATAATTCATAATTTATTAAATGTTTTGGTTGTTTTTATGAAATTATTTAAAGTGAAATGCCATTTTTTTTTAAAAAAATATATAATATTTCTAAAAAAAATTAAATAAATTACCAACTTTTTTTCAAATCGAAATAAAATAATTAAATTCTTTTATAAAGAAATATATTTCATTAGATAACATTGTCATTGCATATTTAAGTTTTCATCTTGAAGTAATTAAACTTATATTTTATTCATTTTCAGCTTATGTATGTATATTAATGATAAAACAAGAAAAAAACTTTACTCCTTCAATTAAAAATTTAAAAAACAGTCTTCTAAAGGTTATATGTTCATTATTACCATAATAAACTTTATTATGTCCAGGTTCCGCCAAAGAAAGTTAATTATTTAGAGTTGCATAACGGAAAAATATATTGGGGACAACTGGTCTAAAACAATTATTCAAAAGCAATAACTTTTAATGTTTGTTTAAACAAAATTCTGATGCATAAGGTTACATTGTAGGTCTTCCCCGATGATTCTGGAACTTTTATGGCTGTTGCTAGTAATGTTGCTGGTGAAGCACGTTGCGTAGCAGATTTGATTGTAGAAGAAGAGAAAAGTCCTGACGAAGAAAAACACATTAGTTATCAAGCATTTTCATCAATTTCACAAACAAAAGAAGTAAGTTGAACTTAATAAACAAGGTGTTTAGTATTAACTTCCCTTAATATTTTTTCAGAATCTGGTTGTATCACATTCTGGTTGTCTCAAATTAATGATGTTTAAGCTGAGAAAAAAATATGAATTATTACCTAAATTATAATATTTTTTAGTATATATATATATATATATATATATATAGTAAACTGTAGTAAATTATCAGCGGACCTAACAATAGGTTCTCTATGAACGATGTGGTTCATGATGTCCATCTGTGAGACATTAATCAGTAGTAACGTTGTTAAATATTGATTACAATAGTATTTTAGTATTTTATCTGCTTTATAAATTATTTACTAAGTAAATATGTCGTGTATCCCTGCAACAAAATTCCCTTACAGCGAATTTCTTAACTTCCCATTAAATTTTAGTCGGAACTTCTCTCGGACCGTTATCTCCATATAACGAACNTATATGTATATATATATATATATATCAAAGATCAAAAGCTGGTACAGTTAGAAATGTCTCTTAAGTTACATACAATGTCGACACTAATTTGTGACCTTTTTAATCCCATCTTTTCCGATAATGAGTGATTTATCAAATTTCGATAGCGTTTTGGTTTTTTTCCCCTTACTTAAATACTAACTGTACAGATATGATAATTTTTTTAACAGAATTCAGAGTTAGTTATGACATTTTGCTGGAAAACTTTATTGATTTCGTTCATTGGAAATCATCGGGATGTATTTGAAAATCAATGTATTATTGGGTTGACTGCATTACATTGACTGAGGATAACGTTTGTGATGCAATAGTTATGCGTAGAATTCATGCGAAATTTCCTGGGAAAAAATTTGAACACATAAATTCTGAACAAAAATTTTGGGTAATATTTTACTTATGCAAAGTTCTGTGGATAAAAGAAAATCAGGAGCAAACTTATCTTTAATGTTAAGAAATACATTAATTGGACTCAGATTAGAACCGGGTTCATGTGCCACACTTTATCACTAAGCTTTGCCTGCTTCTACCAGTAGCTTGAAAGATGCAACTTTTTAAATACGATTTTGACCTTTATCGTATAATATATCCCCTTAAATTACCCTTTAAATGTCATTGGAATGACGCCTGCGTGACTTGATATACGCCGAACTCTACGTCCGCAAACATACACAAACACAGTGTCTGTTTAGAAAAATAATGAAATCATTTCGATTTCGCATTTATTATTTATTTTTGTTTCTGCATTCAAATATCATATTAATATTTTTTAATATCTTTTTGTTTATTTCTTACATTTTTAGATGTATACAAAAATTTCAAGCAGTGAACCAATAACAGTCACACCATATGATATACAAAGCAATATAAAGCCAATCGAAGCACCTCCTCCAAAAGAACCTTCTCCTCCACCAATGCCTGCTGCCTGTCCAAAAATATGGAGTCAGCCTAAACCTACCCCATTTCCTGCACCAGCTATAATAGAGATAATAGAACCTGTCCCTATACCTTCACCTGAACCCGAAGAAATAGTTATTGTTCCATCTATTAGCAATGAACCAATCGTTGATGTTCCAGTCACAGAAACTGTACAGAAATCTGTTACTTCTAGCGTAGAGACTGATCGTATATCAACTGTTCCCTGCAGTGAAACGGAAAAAGTGGTATCTGTTGTGACTGATTCCAAAACAGGCATGGAGTCATATCTAACACAAACTGCAATCGAAGACAGTATAAATAGGTTTCCGTTAGCGTCTTCGATGTCCGAAAGTTTCGTGAAGAAATCTGTGATGAAATTTTCTCAACCAGATGTTACAGACAAAACCCTACATGGTTTGACAGGATCTAAGTCACTATCGAAAGTTCCTGTCCCGGTCCAAAACGGTTTCGATTCAGACACGAAACATACTAGTTCCATTAGTCAAAGTACTCTAATATCTGAATCGCGTTCTTTCATGTCCAGCGGAACGATGATGTCTTCAGAAAACTCGCATGTTCCTAAACCGACAACATTCGTTCCTAAATCCGTAACATCCTTCCAATCTGGATCAGAAACTACTCAAAGCCGCGTACCGGTGTGGCAACCGAAAAAAATTCCTGAACTCAGAAGTCCTCCGCAAAAAATAGCACCCCCCAAAATCGATTCAGATTTCAAAACTGTTGAATGTGTGACCGAAAATTTCACATCAAAAATACCATCGTTCATTTCCGAGAACAAATCCACTTCGTGTGATTTAAAAAGCAACACCTCTTCAGCGTCCTGCCAAACCTCAACTGATCCTTCAATCTATAGCATGTCCGAATCTTCGACCACCAGGACATCGACCACACGAACTGAAGAAATCTCAATCACTAAAAAGTACGAATTGGTTCTGGAGCATTCCTCTGAAGTGGTCAAGATCTCTGACCACGAAAATAAAACTGCACCAAAGCCTATAATTAAGAAAGAAGTATCTGATGGACCCAAAGTAAAAAAGGAAGTAGTAATTGAGGAAGAGCCTGTGCTCGGCGCGGAAGTGAAGCCACCTCTGTTCTCAAAGGTGAGAGGTGCTGATTCGTTAAGGAAGATATATACTGATGTATAGAATGTAGACTAGTTGACCAGTGGTTGCCAACCTCTATTATATTTATAAATCTATGTTTTGTTTGTTTTGATTGTGTTAAACATTGGGGATTTTTTTTTTCAAATAAAATTGCAAAGCATGATTTAGTCATTATTTGTAATTTTAATTACATTTGTTAAAATAACAGGTATGGAATGATAAGACCTCGCTCTCTCAGTGTTGTTATTTTTTTTCTAACAATAGTTATTCATTTTTTAAATTTTTTTTCCTAATTGCCTTTCTTTAAGTTAATGTAAAACTTGCTTATTAATTTATTAATCCCTTTAAAATATTACATAGTTTTTCTGTCACTCAACTGAAATTTTATATATATACATATATATATTTGTGATTTATAATTTAAATGCTGTTAATTTATTACTTAATTAATTTATCACTTTAAAAACGTCAAATTCTCCCTGATTCTCTATTTAAGAATGACATTCTTTAAATATTTATTTCATGACTCGAATGTTTAGAAGCCGAATTTATATAGAAATAAGGATATATTTTTGTCCAAAACTGCATAATTAACTAAAAAAGAATTTTCGTACACAATGAAAGTACCGTTTTTGTTTTTGTTCCAGATCGTATTTCGTTGNTTTTTTTTTTTTTTTTTTTTTTTTTTTTTTTTTTTTTTTTTTTTTTTTTTTTTTTTTATAAAATTTCTATTTTTGCATAAATAAACTAAGAAGTTAAATATTTTTGTAACTTGTAAAATATTTTTTCAAGTATCAATGAAACCCATGAGTAATTCGATATTATTGACTGATTTTAATTTTTTTTATAAACCACCACAACGATAAATTTATTTTTAAAAAAACATAAATGAAAATAGCTGACAAAAGGAATGTTGCCTGATTGAGTTTGTGTGAGAATTTCTGCTTTTGATAGATATGCATTATGCTTTAAATTTTTTTTTAGTTTTTATTATCTTGAAATATTCATAAAATTTAATACATCTATCTTTCAGCTATTAAGGATTTTATTAATTTTAGTTTTAAAGAAATAATAAGAATAGTATGGTTAAATAAAAGAATATTTTTTTTTCATTTTATTTGGAGGGTTTACTGCAAAAAGAGACAGTTCCGTTATTTTTATATTTATTTTTGATTTCTTTAGAACTGCAAGCTTTGGAATAATTTTGCTTTGAAAAAAAAATAGTTTAATAATTTATGTTACAAGGAACTTGCTTCAATGCTCAAATATTGCTGAAAAACATCCAGTATTTTAAATGAAACTAATTTCTTTTCGCAACATGCCTTTTTATTACCATATAGATATTATTTATAATTATCTTTGAAATATTTTAAATTAATTAATTATTCTTTTATTGCATGCTACATCGTATATTACTGAAGTAAGTTTTCTAATATATTATATTTTTACTTTATTTGGTTGATATTTCAAATACTATTTCTTATTTAGTTTCAGATATTGTTTATTTTCTTAAAAAAAAACATCAGGATGTATGCAAAAAGTATTAGACATGTAAAATGTTAAATTTATCAAAAATATGTAAAGATAGATTTAATCTGATGAATTTCGTGGCCATTAGAAGTATATGGGATATTTTTCTTGGAAGTAATTTTTCATTTTGCATTCATTTTTCAACATTTACTTAATTCTCGTTATAAGGCCCAGACTACTGTTCTTTGTTGAAATTTCTTGATGTAGTATTGTGAAATTTCTTGATGTAATTGAAAGTTGTGGACTTATTGTTGTTGACATTGTCGTTGGCCATTAAGGCAGAGGGGGTGCAATTGTTCTTGTTTTCCAGTGGCGCCATCTATGGCCAAGAATTCGCCACACTTTTGCCACACCCATACTGCTGACATCTGTTTATAGAGCCGACACATTCCATTCATTCATCCACAGATCATAATTTTGACCTGAATCAGAGAACGATCAATCTCCGATCCGGTACCTCCAGGGACCGGGCAGATTTAACGTGCACCATTCACCGTTTACTGCACTGGAGTCTTCGGCCAGCTGGATTTGAACTCTCGTCCCCGCGGTCGTGACTCCATCACCCTGACAAGCAGGCTATCCCTGTGGGTTTATTAATTGGATTAAATACGTGTTTTTGAAAACAACAGAGTATAGGAATATTATTACATTGACTTCTTAGTTATTCTTAAATGCACTTTTATTCTAAATTCAGAGCTAGTTTCACTAGGATTACTGTAGATTCTTGTCAGGCTTTTGCAATTGACAATTTCTTCATGTCTAGCCTATAGCGTATTTGAATTTATGAACATTTCTTTTGTATTCTGTCATCCATGTTTGCTAGTCTTTTCTTCCCGTTCATTCTATGAGATTATGATCTGGAAATTTTCTCAGCAACTTTAAAACAACCATTTTGTTTCTGGCAAAATATTCCTTAATTATTATATATTTTTTTTTTACAATTATGGTGAGAGGCCAAAATTTGCATTTTGGCATTTGGAAGAAAAATTTGGTTTCATTATTAATCTTATTATTAATCATTGGTGTTCATTATTTCTTCAACAGGAAAGAGTAGTTCAAAAATTTACCAATAATTAAATTTAAAAAAAAATGATCGCTTCTCTGGGTTAGACGGCTCATTGTGGCAGTTGACCTAGGTTCGATTACTGAGATATTTGTATATTGCTTCGGCTAGCTATGGTTCAACAATGTATTCAATAGTTTTTATAGTTGGTAGATGAATTCGTTGTTTAGTCTCAAATCCCATTGGCTAGAGAAGTGATATATTTGATGCAAAAATCGGTTGTGTGACATTAGTTTAACGTTAAATAAAATAGCTACTTCTTATTTTATGTCGGGATTTAGGAATATTTCTTGTAAAAAAACGTTAGTAAAACTTGGTAGATAATTCTGTTTTTTTTTTAAACATTTATGGAATTTCTGTAATTACACAATTTACCAAAAAAAACCTACGTTCTAATCTGTTGTTATCACAGTTTTATAGCTGCTAAAGTCTGCCTTAAATTTAAAATAAGTATTTACCTTGTAGATTTATTTTAAAATATTCAAACTTTGCATGTATTTGATACTTTGTATGCATCCTGTATATTGATCAAATTTTAATAAAAGAAGTCCCATTAATGGGGACTTAACCCTTTGACACAGATGGTTCACCGATGTCTATTTTGTAATTTTTTTTTTGCTGACGCTCTAATTACAAGTAAAGTATATTTTGGTATTTTTTAATTACAAGAAACTAGTTACTAAAAAATATCTGTTAGATTATCGGAATTATATGTATTCTAGAATATAAAATCCAAAAAAGGTAGTTCTAAAAATTAGTTTTTCAAAAATTCATGGATGGTTAATTTTGTAAATTAAAGAAATTTCAATGATGAATCACTGTTTATCTTAGTTCAAAACAACTGCTATTTAGTGCAAACTTGAAAAATTATTGTTTGGAAGTAAGCTGAATTTGGAAGATTTTACCTTTGTTGTTTCATGCTGTATTTCATAAACATAAATTATTAAAATGCTAAATATATCATTTTATACTTATCTGGAATTAAATTAATACGAAATAATAAGAAGAAAAATATAAAAAATATGTTTAATGAAAAATTTTTGCTTCAAAGGGTTAAAATTGATAGTTTCCGTAAAAGATTTTCAGTTATAATTTTTTGTGTTAGTGTAAATTTAAAGAAATTTTTATACTACGGAATAGCTTGGTATTTCTTTTGCCTGAAAATGTATTTATTGCCTAGAAAAAGATGAAGGGCGTGGCTTATCATTCTAAAATTTCTACTAAAATGCTTGTGGTTGGGAATCACTGTTCTTACTCTCTTTAATAATTTTTCTCATATTTTCTAGCTTTTAATCTCTTTTTTTCTAATATATATGTTAATATATATTTAACTACTGTTATTGCAATAACTTATGTATAATTTAAGTTCTTTATAAATACCATTAATGTTTACATATTTGTTGAACATGATTGTTTAAATATCTATGCTTAAAAAGAAACTGCTTGCTTGGTTTTTAGCTTTAATTTTTTTGTGTGCATATAACTAACAAAAAACTAGCCATACAATGAATAAATTGTGTCTTTAGCGTTTCTATACACAGAAACGCTAATCAAGCTAAGTATACAAACGCCATTTGCTGTTTTGCTGTTGATGAGACAAATTCTGAGTATGTTCTGGAATGGATTTTTCACTAATGAATGACAAAAAGTTTTAACTGGGTACCAGCACAATAAATTTAAGTAGCGCCCTAAACAGCTATGTTTCAGGAATAATATATAGTATATAAGATATAGTTTATAAGCTTTTAATCAGGGAAGTGTTCTTTAAAAAAAAACGTAGAACAAAGCTCTGCAGAAAAAGCCATTTGTTGGAAGGAGGTTATGAATATTAAGTCTCTACAATTCATGAGGGTGACTGACTATATGTAAGCTTTGCGTGCCCGCCGCCTTTACTTCCCAGATATACGAGTATCTATCCATGGATGTAAAGCTGGGAAGGAAAACCCGGTCCTACACAATGACATATGAGCGAGCCGTGAAGGTTCAGGGAATAGAGCGTTCGCCTTCCAATGGGGCTAACCGGGTTCGAATCCCAGTCGATACGAATTCCGCATCCGGCTTGCGTCTATCACAGTGTTGACGTGAAATATCCTCAGTGGTAGACAGATCATGGGTTAGAGTCCGCTTGCTCTCAGGCTAACCGTGGGAGGTTCTCGTGGTCTTCCTCTCCATGGCAAATGTGGGTTAGTTCCATCAAAGCGTCCTCCACGAAGGCAAATTTCTCCTCGATACTTCCTCCAGGAGTTCCCTTGTCTTCTGGATTGTGTTCAAAATTACAAGGCTACAGAGTTGAGCATTAGTAGTCATAAACCTAAAAATTGGGTCGGCTGTTCAACGACGGATATAAAATAAAATAAAATGACAGATGAGCGCCTTTGTCACTTAATAAACAATAGATTTACAA